TATGCACAAACAATGAATCATGGAACACTGCATCAAAAACTAATGATGTAATGTATGGTGGTTAACAATAAAAAAATTATTAAAAAAAAAAAAAATCTTCACTGATCTCAGTAGGAAAGCAAAGGATAAATGGAAGCTTGGCTTTCATAATTGGTATTTTTGTTTTATAGCTGGTTTCCACTTCAATAAATTTTTTTAAAAAGAAAAAAAAAAAAAAAAGAAAGTTTCATCTGTAATGAAGGCCGGTAATGTACGTGCTGGAGGTAAATGAGTGAGAAAAAAAACAGTAGTCAGGGAATGCCCTTTAAGAACTCAAGATTTTGTTGGTGGAGCAGCTCTAGTTGATGCCACGGATCAGCCGTGCCTATGAGTGGTTGAAGTGAAGGGCAAGGAAGGAGGGGAAAACAGGATGAGATCAGAAACTTTAATAATTTCCAGGCCTGTGACAGAAGCCCGAGATCGTTACACAAAAGCAAGTGATACTGAGAATTACAGTACTAAATAATACATATTATATATACAAATGGTTGAGTATGGAGCAATTTCAACCATTGTAATGAAAAGCACTGGGCATTATGGAATAAAAGCTGACTCAAACTGTTTCTTTGGGAATAAAGATTGATACACTAAACTGATAAACAACAGTATCAGATAGAAGAATCCCACCTTTCATATGTACACACAGTTGCAAACTGGAGTGAATTTTATGAAGCATCAGTGTCTAGATGTGTGCATGGAATGCGAGGGCAGTTGAGAATTTGGCACAGCATTATTATTTACCTTTTTATTCTGACTTGTTTTAGGCTTTGAGGAATTTTTCCTTTTTTTGTAGAGGAGGAACAAAGGCGAAGACTCAATAGGACACTCATAAAGAGAAGTGTGCACCTTTTCCAAATATCGCTGGAAATCTTCGACTTCCACATCTCTATCCAACCTATGTAGCAGAGGGGAAAAAAAAACCTTAAAATGTTGTTCAGAATTACATGATGAAAACTACGGAAGTGGAAGAATTTGGCAATTAAAATTGTGTGTGTGTGTGTGTGTGTGTGATGGGTCTGTATCTATCAACCACTATCTTAAGGAGAACCTTTTACACGACCATTTAACAATTCATGAATAATTTTGCCTGGCAGCAGCACATTCTGACAGACGAACATCTTTTCCTTCACCACACTCTGGATGATTGGTACTGCCTCGGTGTTACTCGATATGTATTAAGTTTCTCCCTTGCTTGCTCTTGTACTCAGGGAGCATTTACTGTCTTTGTTAAGGACCTAGATTAATGGCTTTGTTTAAAGTGATGCATTAAGAAGACTTTCTTAAACCTCTAACAAGGTTTGGGTATGTTACTCTGTGTTACACCATTAATAAGTACAGATATAATTGCATCTAATATTTATAGCTTGCTGCATGCCAGGTACTTTATGCACATTATCTCATTAAATCGTCATAACAAGGAGGCAGGCATTATTATTATCTGCATTTTGGCAGAGAAGAAACGAAGGTTGACTTAGCCAAGGGCATACAGAAATTTAAAGGCGAGAAACCTACACACAAACCTAAGTATGTCAGTTGCTCGAGCACATGCAAGCTTTTAATTACTACCCTTTATTGCTTCTCATAAATTTCACAGTTCTCAGTTTTAATAATGTAAACATTTTCATTATTGACTTGATTTTTTTTTTATAAGTCATGCAGATTTACGAATAATAAAAATATCCTACCTGGTAAAGTAGGCATTACTTATACAGCCAGTGAAATTAGCATACTGGGGACTGATGGGTGAGCCACCGAAGTAAAACTTCCTTTCACCAGCTTGTGTCTGTTCCATTTTCCCTTTTGTAGGGTTCTTACTCCCAAGTCTGCTCTTATCTACTATCAGTTCATATCTGCAAAGGAAAAAGCTTCTTTACACACCACACTGCTACTCTTTTACCTGGAGTTCCATTCTAGGTTGCAGGTTTTCTCATGGAATTGACATAGAACATTCTGGCTAGTGAAAAGATAACAATTTGCCGGCCTCTTCACGAGGTCTGGGATAAAATAGGTGAATATTTTTTTTTTAAGATTTTATTTATTTATTTGATAGAGCGAGAGAGCACAAGTGGGGGGAGCAGTAGAAGGAGAGGGACAAGCAGGCTCCCCGCCCTGTAGGGACCCTGGGTCCGTAACCTGAGCTTAACCATCTGAGCCACCCAGGTGCCCCAGGTAAATGTTTTTATATGCAGAAAAGACTCTCTAAACCCCTAAAAACAAGAAGCTCAGATGATTAATTACCAGTATTTTTTTTTTTTTTTGGTGGAAAAAGCAGAACGTAACTCATGGTGATTATTTAATCACATTTGGGGAGCCTGTTTTCATTGTGAAGCATATGGACTGGTTTTGAGCATAATCGGAAATGGAGTCTAGAAAGGCTGATTAATGTGTTTTTTTGTAATGGGAGGGCTCCACAAAAGTGGACATAGAATAGCAGCTGCCTACAACAGAAATTTATTTCTTATTCCAGAAATCTTTCTTCTTATGAAAAAGAAATTCAGTATTACATATTTAAAAAATAAAGCTAGAGCTTTTAAAATGCCATAAATGTAGAGTTCTCAATTGCTTAATTAAAAATCGAAATGAAACCAATGTTTGCGGATCTCCTTCTATGTGCAAAACACCGCACTCCATTCAGTAAGTACTGTGTGTAGGCACTTCCCTCAAGAAGGTTTGTAGCCTGTGGTTTTATTGGAAAAAACCCGTTATATTCCTGTTAAGTAATTATATAGTGATTTATCTCTTGAAAATTAATAGCAACTTCTTTTTAAAAGAATGAAGGTTGTTCCCTCTACCATTTTTTTTAAGCACTGGAAAAGCAATAGTCTATTATTCATAGTGGTCATTTAGCAGAATCATGCCCTACGAATAAAGGCATCTGGTGGGAAGAATATAAAGTGAGGAGCTGTACCTTGCGGGTGTGACAGAGGTAATGACGAAGTGGGACAGCCCGTCATCGTACTGCTTCTCGGCCGACCGCACCTTGATTCCCTTGACATCCATGACCACAGTGCCGTTATCCAACGAGATGGAGAACACATCCGACTGAAATTCAAGCACAGGGTTTTAAATGGGAAGGCCAGGGATCCAAAAGATGGACGTGTTTACTTCATGGTATTGCTTAAAGGAACACCCAGTGTGTGGCAAGTTTGCTTGTGAAATGATTTCTATGAAAACAACAACGACAGAATATTGCTTATACTGGTGTCGTCGACAAAATTAGAAACATTTCAGTGGAGAACTGAAGATTTCTGGTGATTTTGTCATGCTGAGAGTTGTTCAGTGCTAACGCCTTCCCTAACTCGGGCATTGCTATTCTGTCTTCAGTCTCCCCTCTGGGAAAGGCGATACTCGAATCTCCTTGGGGATGTAAGTAGATGACCAGGCAAGGGTTAATTTGCCAGTTTGGCTTTTTAGGTGTTTTACTTTTCATCTATAGAGGTGGAAGAGAAATAGAAAAAGAGCACAAGTTAACAGTTCTTTTTCTGAATTTGCTTATTGATTGTTTAAAATATTGGCAAATTGATAATCTTGCTTCTCTTCCCTTATAGGGGCACTGACCTCTACAGTTGAGGGCACAGCCCTCAACATAATTACTTTTTTTGTGGACAAAAAGTGTTATTTAACTAACCATGGTAATCTGAGGCAGGTTTGATGGTGGAGGTCCTACAAAGTGCTTTGGATAAATTCTCACAGTTGCTACTGATTTAAATTAAATTCAATATAAATGTGACAGATACAAGGTAGTAAGTATGCAAAGAGCTGCTTTTACATATTATATTATGACCTGCTCTATCAGTGTATATATTGTTGATGACCTTTTCAGAGATAAATTGGTTGGGTCTTGGGGTCACCAAACCTCTGGATATCTTATTTTATTTTTGAAATAATATATCTTTAGAAGGTGAGTTCAAGTGTTCTATAACCAGTCCAAGAACAGAGAAGTATGTTCCTTTTATTATTTTACAAAAAAATCACATACGTATTTGTATATGTACACAGAGGTTCTTAACATTTTTTGTGCTATGCACTTTGGTGATATATACGGCCCTTTCAAAAGTAACGTTTTAAAATGCATCAAACAAAATATCTAGGGATACAAAGGAAACCAATTATACTGAGATACAGTTTCAATTTATTAAGACAATAAATCTGTGATATAGTAATGTATGTACTTCTTTATCAAAGTGTTAAATTATAAAATCTCTCAACAGACCTAATAACTACTGTAATTTAAAAGTAGCAATGAGCAAAAATGATATTTTGAGATATCTGTGGCAACTTTTATTTGAAATGAAAAATACCTGTGATTTTTATTAATGATAAAGTAACAGGTTCTGCAAATATTACTGTGGTTTGTTGCTGACATTTGTAATTGAAGAAAATGCTAAATTTTAGTTTGAGAAAAATAAAATTTAAAAAAAATCTTAATTTTTTCTGACCTAGGTCCACAGACACACTGAATTTTCTCCCTGAACTACTGAGGGGTGGGTCTATGTATCCTAGGTTCAGAACTCCTGATATGCAATACACATAATTATAAAGTGTCTGAAATGAGGCATTCTGTGTGTGCTCATGTGAATCAAAATTAATCTGAATCGAAAATCACTTTTAACATGCTTAAACAGTATTTTTAATAGACAAAACAATTATCACAAAAAAGTTCCCATAGGGAAAAAGAAATACTTACTCCTGAAGCATAATAGAATAGTAGCCCATTTGGCTGTAATGTTCGGAAATTAAAACCTCCTTCGAAGCCATCGAAGAAAGATATTTTCTGAACTGAAGCAATGAAACTCTGCCCGTTGAAATATGCTCTGCGAGATATCTGCGTGACAAAAAAAAGTGAATATAGTGTTTGTGATAATTGTCAAATGCTTAAAATGTCAATTTCTCACACAGCAAAGCCCTTGTTTACTGGTTTCTATATTAATAGTTTATGTTTTAACTTCCGGTTTATACTGAAATTCAGGCATGGTAACAGGTCCTTCTGTGTGCCTCTAGCTGATGAGGTTTTAGCTTCTCCACTTCCTCCACCCTGAGTGAGTAAAGATGCCCGCACAGCCTCTCTGTGCTTTTGAAGCCCCACCCATTGAAAACTGAAGCAAATGGACAAGTCACAGAGGAAGCTCCACACGCCTTTTTAGCTTAATGTTACTCCTTTCTTTTTTTTAAGATTTTGTTTATTTTTTTGACAGAGAGAGCAAGCACAAGCAGGGGGAGGGGCAGGCAGAGGCAGAAGGAGAAGCAGGCCTCTCATGGAGCAGGGAGCCCGATGCGGGGCTTGATCCCAGGACCCTGGGATCATGACCCGAGCCAAAGGCAGACTCTTAACGACTGAGCCATCCAGGCACTTCAATGTTTCTCCTTTTTGCTGGTGGCAGAAAGGAGTCCAAGGTGTACTTAAGCTCACAGAGAAGCTGAAAAAAGCTTTTCCAGTGTTTGAGAATGATAAGTTTTATGTCTATTTATTTGTGTATGTCTGTGTGTGTCTATTTATTAAAGTGCTTTTGATTGACTGGTACTTACAAGAGGGTCTTCTGGGCATCCATAACCAACTCCCAGGGTTTCTGTCTGCTCTAATAAATTGAAATCTTTCTTTTGGAACTGGAAACCCTTCATGCATCCTCTGAAGTTGACATCTAGGGGAAGGTGCGCTCTGAGGGTCCTGGAAAAGAAAATTAGTCTTCAGTGATATGATGATGATGATGTTACCCTGCATATGTGGGATATGAAATTTGATTTTATTTATCGTCATGTTTAGTAGCTTTGTAATTATTCATATCCTCATGCTTTCTTTCATAAGCACACAGTAATGTCTAATCTTTGCCTATAGAACAGCTTTATTCTGCATCGAGCCAATTTGTTTACTTCTTTATAGTTTTCAAGATACTTTAACTTACATTAGCTCATTTCATGTTGATAAAAATTCTGTGATATAAAAGGAAAGGCTATTATTTCCCTTTTACAGATGATTAATAGGTTGAACCATACGGAACTGATGTATTTTAGGTAAAAAATGGTCAACTCTTGGCAACTTCACATGGTTTAACCTATAAAATGAAACTAAGAAACATCAAAATCTTTTTATTTGTTTGTTTTTTTTTAATGTCACAAGTGGTAAGTTAGGATTTGAATCTAGGTCTTCAGTCTTCCACTAATCCATTCCCAAGTGAATTGGATTAAAGCCATGAACTCATCTTCTTGGCTTTTTTGAAACACACTATAATCAACTAAGGCTAGAGGAATGTTCTAGTGAATGTTGAGCTTTTGGATTAATAGGAAAGTAAGAAATCTTTTATCTTTGAAATCAGGGATGACATTTTGATTAGTACTGTAATCCCAGTACCTATCATTATGCCTAGTATATAGGAGGCACCCAAGAGCATATTATCAAATATTGAACGACTATGAAATTAGTTTTGATCAAACTACAATGGTTTCAATGCATTTTAAATGAACACTGGCAAACTAAAGAATAACAGTCCCACTATATTCTCTTCCATTAAGATCACACCTAGAGGACTGTGCTAACTAACAGTTTGGGGTATACAATGACAACCATAACAGTTAAAAGTCCCATGTGGAGTTGTTGAAGGAGCTAAGAGGGTATCTAATTTGGAAAAGAAGTTTGAGGTTGGGGCCTCATCCCAGACCAATTAGAATTTCTGGAGAGTGGTTATGTGTAATGGTGTTTATAAAAGTTCTCCAGATTATTCTAAGGAGAACTAGGGTTGAGAATGACCAGGCTGGAATATCCAAAAGTTGCCTCTCAGTTTCAAGGGTGTCTGATGCTATGACTTGATTGTAATAAAAGATAAATTTTTAAATACATGAGAATAAAACTGTAATGATACATAATTCATAACCTCTTGGATAAGCTTAAAAATGTTTGTAACCTCAGATGCTATTTGAGAGTTCAAAGAAGCTTAAATTAAGACTGAAATAAAAGGGACACGATGCTTCATTTTCACACAATACACATGCTCTGTCTTTCCTCTTGCAGATAAGAAATATCACATTAGACTTAGACTGTGTTCTAAGATTAATACAATAATTAAAGAAACCTGTAGATCTCATCTAGAAGATGCTAATTTAAGGAGGTCATGAGGGTGCATGAGTGTGTGTGCATGTGCCTGTGTGCATGCCTAGAAGCAGCAAGTGGGAATGCCTTAAACTTTTACTGGACCTCTTCTGGATGGTGAATACTCAGCCCAGTACATCATTAGGAACAACAGCTACTTAACAAAAACAGCTTACCTGGATTGTAAAATTTCTGGGGGAGCCCCTCCAATGTATATGTCTGTAAAAGGTATCTTCATCTTTTCATTGTCCATGCTCTTGACATGTCGTCTGTCAACCACCAAAATCATTTTCTTATCGTTGTGGTAAATGATTGAGATCTAGGAGACATAATATATAGTTAAGTCTTGATCATTGTTTAATAATCAACTTTTTGAAGTTGACTATATAGTTTAATTATTCCGGTTATAACAGCTGGGCCCCCATGTTCTTCTGCTTGTTTGTTCACAAAATGGGGAATAGATATGCCTTTCTTATAGACATGAACACTTGTACTTAAATAACCAGAAGCTCACATTTTCTGGAGAAGGATTTCCATATGTAGAAGGAGCTAGACCAAAAAATATTTTTGTCAGGAGACCAGTTGTTTTCTTTTGCCCCTTTGAGGGGATTCAGGAAAAAACTATAAACAGGGAACTTTTGGACCCAGACTGCATGTTACCAGGTGTCATTGTTTTAGTGCCACAGTGAAAAGCTTTAATGATTCTGCCAAAATGCTAGTCAGCAATATAGTTAAAATATTCTTCTATTGTAGACCATCCTCATGGAGGCCATGAAATTTGAACTGAAAAGAGAAATATAGCCTCCTACTCTCTGCATTTTGTTTTAACTTAAAAGATATGCATTTTATACATTTTCCTCAATTGTAGATTCAAAGTAGTTGTTCATGAAAATAGATGAAGTATATTATCAGTATGCTGTACAACTGTTTCAAAGTTAAAGAGCATTCCTTGTGGGCTCTCTTTATAAGGAAATCTGTGCTAGTATTTTCTAAATTCTGGATAAATGCTTTACAAGGAAATTCTCTATTTGCTTACCATCTACTCTTTTTACATTTAGTAGTGCTCAAAGGATACATTTAAAAATGGCTGTGTGTCCATACTCTGGCATTTTCAACAGATGTATAAAAGAATCCTATGGAGTGCCATTGTAATCAAGACACCGAGCAGGAGTCTTTTGGTCAATGAAGCAATTAAAATGAATCTTCCAGTGACTCTTTCATTAGAAAACATCAATATGACAAAATCATTCATTCTTTTAAAGCAAATGTTATCCTGGAGTTGAGTAGATGGGGTCCTTCAGTTGGATTTTAGAAGTACAGGTGTTCAGTTTAATTACTTTCCCACCTATGTCATTTGACCATCTGATTAGATCAATAGGTCTAAGTACAAGTAAAACAAAACAAACAAACCACACAAATTGCAATATTTATACCTCATGGTATTTTGCATCATTAATTTGAGCTCTCTTTGATGTGTCCTCAAGATGCACAGGGCCATTGCTAAATCCAAAGTCATAGAACACATGTAGGTAACCATCGCGCATTTCCAAGCTGAAAAACATACTCTGTGGAGAGAAAGAAGAAATTATGAGATACAAACATCTGCTATTATGAAAGTGCAGATTTAGCTGAATTTGAGAATAACACTGTATTCTTTATTATTGAAACTGAAGACTAAGGAAGTCTTCATGAAATTCTTATTATAAAATTAAAATCGCAACTCCATCCATATCAGCAGTTAGGACTCACATTAATATACCAAAGTGTTAACATTCATACACAATTTAAGACAGCTATCTTCTGCTTCTTATTTACCTGATGAATTAATGAAATTTTAAGTTTATCTTATTGACCTTTTAAAAATCTTGAAAACGTCTGAAAATTATAACAGGCTAACAGATGTGAGTGCATTTCATTTTAAGAGGAAAATTAGCAATACTGAAAAATAATTCCAAGGTTTGCTGAGAAGAATATGAAAAAATTATCAGCAAATATAGATATAAGAAAAAGGACATTATTTGGAAACACTGGATGTATGTAAATAAACGTGAAATGATTATGCACTTGGACCATATGATGTTCAAGAACAAAGTCATTCTGTAACACTCAGGTATCTTACTGGTCAGGCCTGCTTGTTTTGGAAGATAGTTTGCAGACAGAAGAACTGAATGGATTTGAAAAATAAGGTATTGTGGCAAGGTTCCTATTTATCAGAAAGTGATCTCTTGAGTGGAGTTTGTATTCTCCTGAGAAATGGAAAATGATACATTAGGGGAAAGAAAGAAAATATTTCAACTTCCATTTATACTAATTTAAAAACTCTAAAATGGAGAAAAAATTAACTTTTAGTATTTAATACATGGACTGAGCTGGGACTTCATTTTGTTCTTTGGACAGATTTTCATGGGCTTCACGTGGTATGTGAGGCTTTGAGAGCACAGTTTCACACTTGAAGCCTGGCGGTGGCCCCTCATCCATTTCTTTCCTTTTAGCCCTATTGCGGTTTATTGCAGTTTAGGTGTGCCTGGTTACACGGACTTACATGTGAGAAGACTTAAACAATAGAATATTTATAATGATTTTCTTTTGAGATGCAGTGATGTGAAAATATTTTTGAGACACTGATGTTTGCAAACTACTTCTTGCAAATGACTAAAAATGCTGTCAAGTTTAAGGAGGGTTACACATTTTCTTTATAAAATGAGTAATTATAAATTTGTTGACCTTCATTTGTCATGACAAATGTCTTTCAGTACTATGAAACTTACTGGTTATTTAAAAAAAATACTTGATCTCTCATTTCAAGGGAGGGGTATTATTATAACAATGCATGAAAAAGTAACTCTTTAAAATTTTTGTTATTTTTTATTTTAATTCCAGTATAGTTAACAAGCAGTATTATATTAGTTTCAGGCATACAATATAGTGATTCAACACTTCCATACATCAGCTGGTGCTCATCACAACAGGTGCACGCCTTAATCCCCATCCTGCATCCCCCCACACACTTACCCTTTGGTAACCATCAGTTTGTTCTCTATAGTTGAGTCTGTTTCTTGGTTTGTGTGTGTGTGTCTCTCTCTCTTTTCTTTCCCCTTTGCTTGTTTGTTTTGTTCCTTAAATTCCACTTGTGAGTGAAATCATATGGTATTTGTCTTTCTCTGACTGACTTATATCGCTTAACATTATATTCTCTAGCTCCATCCATGTCATTGCAAATGGCAAGATTTTATTCTTTTTTAAGGTTGAATAATATTCCATTGTATATATAAACCACATCTTCTTTATCCATGCACCTATCATTGGACACCTGGGCTGCTTCCATAACTTGGCTATTGTAGATAATGCTGCTATAAACATAGGGGTGCTTGTCTTCCTTTGAATTAGCATTTTTGTATTTTTTGGGTAAATACCCAGTAGTGATCCCTGGATCAAAGGGTAGTTCTATTTTTAATTTTTTGAGGAACCTCCATACTGTTTTCCACAGTGGCTGCCTCAGTTTGCATTCCCACCGACAGTGCAAGAGGGTCCCTTTTTGTTCACTTCTTTACCAACACCTGTTTCTTGTGTTTTTGACTTCAGCCATTCTGACATGTGTGAGGTGATACCTCATTGTAGTTTTTCTTTCTTCTCATTGTAGTTTTGATTTGCATTTCCCTGATGATGAGTGAGACTGAGATCTTTTCATGTGTCTGTTGGCCATCTGGATGTTTTCTTTGGAGAAATGTCTGTTCATGTCTTCTGCCCATTTTTAAATTGGATTATTTGTTTTTTTGGGTGTTGAGTTGTATCTGTTCTTTATATATTTTGGATACTAACCCTTTATCAGATATGTCATTTGGAAATATTTTCTCCCATTCCATAGGCTGCCTTTGAGTTTTGTTGCTTGTTTCCTTCACCATGCAGAAGCTTTTTATTTTGATGTAGTCCCAATAGTTTACTTTTGCTTTTTTCCCTTGCCTAAGGAGACACAGCTAGAATAATGTTGCTATGGCCAATGTCAGAGACATTACTGCCTGTTATCTCTTCTAGAATTTTTATGGTTTCAGGTCTCACATTTAGGTCTTTAATCCATTTTGAGTTTATGTTTGTGTATGGTGTAAGAATGTGGTCCAGTTTCATTCTTTTGCATGTAGCTGTCCAGTTTTCCCACCACCATTTGTTGAAGAGACTGTCTTTTCCCCATTGTGTATTCATTTACCCTTTGTTGAAGATTAATTGACCATAGAGTTGTGAGTTTATTTCTGAGTTTTCCATTCTGTGCCATTGATCTATGTGTCTATTTTTGTGCCAGCACCATACTGTTTTGATTACTGCAGCTTTGTAATATAACTTGCACTGGAATTATGAGACCTCTGGTTTTGTTTTTCTTTTTCAAGATTGCTTTGGCTATTCAGGGTCTTTTCTGGTTCCATACAAATGTTAGGATTTTTTTTTAGTTTTGTGAAAAATGCTGTTGGCATTTTGATAGGGATTCCATTAAATCCGTAGACTGCTTTGAGTAGTATAGACTTTTAACAATATTTATTCTTCTAATCCATGAGCATGGAATGTCTTCCTATTTAATTTCTTTCATCAGTGTTTTATAGTTTTCAGAGTACAGACCTTTCGCCTCTTTGGTTAAGTTTATTTCTAGATGTTTTATTATTTTTGGTGCAATTACAAATGAGATTTTTTTTCTTAATTTCTCTTTCTGTTGCTTCATTATTAGTGTATAGGAATGCAACAGATTACTGAAGAGAAAGTAACTTTCTTGAAGAAAGTTGTACTCTGGAGAGATGGTTTTTAAAAAACATATTTGTAAAATTTTCTATTGTTAAATGAATTTGTTGATGAAAACAATGTATACTATCTATAAAAACTCTCATATCTGCACTATTAAAATAATTTTAGAAAAAAATTTCTAACCTGTTTAAAAATATTTTAAATAAAGATTTCAATGGTCTTGAGTTCTTTTGCTAAAGTTTATCAAATGATGCAACATCTGATTAGCTAGCAAGAACTGACATCAGAAAAGATGGAAACATACCAGCTAAATTCAAAGAAAACTTTTGCCAATTAGTGAAAAAGACTGAAAAATGGTATCATGATTTAGTAAGCATAGCCAATGATACACATCTTGTATGTTTATTTTTGAGGTACTTTGTTCAGTTTTGACAGTCAATAAAACTTAGTATTGAAATCAATTGGACTTAAGATAAGACTTTTGAGTAATTGTATCTCAAAGACTTAATGAGACTTCCAAAAAACATAGGCATATTTAATTACATTGTTTCTACTAACACTGCTATTAATATTTATACCATTAACAAATAGAAAATAATTTTATTTCATTTCATCTTTATTTTAAAGTTGTATTTATTTTTATTCAATATTTTATCTTTATACAAATTGTCTCTTATTCCTAGTTTTGAATATTATCTCTATAATAAAATATGGAATATTATTATGAAAAATCATTAATAACGTACATTATTTCACACTTTGATGTATATCATTAATAAAGAAATGCATATATTTATAGTAAGCATGCTATTTTTTTTTAACTAATATAGGCATATGATGTAAAAAGTCAGTGCTAAATTTCTGCAGACACACTACCCACCTAGATCTTGGTGCTGATTTTCTGCAAGATTCCCTAATTTATTAAAGGGGGTTATATTTAACATACATCCAAAAATGCATTTCAGAGCTGCAGGAATTACTTATTACTGACATCACTTCTCTAAAGAAAAAGAAATCCAATTTATTTTCTAAACGAAAACTTCAGGTTGGTGGCATGACATACTCAACCTGGGAAGGTTCCTAGGAATATGCATAGAAGAAAGTAGAGGATATAACGGAGAAGATAAAGGACTTTTATTTTTACTCACTCCATTGACCATCAGGAGCACAAGGCCATTGTCAGCTGGTGTTCGAACTTCTATATCAAAGCGAGTCACCTGACCGAATTTCCCCCTCCTTGTGATATCCCTTACCACGGCGTAACTAGAGCCATCGAAGAAATAGCTGGCGGCCCGACTCTGAGTGAAGGCCAGTTTATCTCTGAAATAAAAATGCAAGGATCATACGAACATGAGAGTTTGCATTACGCTTTTCACATGAGGCCTTTTCATCCCATTGTCATGACATCTTCCATGGACCTTACAGCATTTAAATATGTGTAATTTAAGAAACAAAACAGATGAACATAGGGGGAAAAAAAGAGAGGCAAACCAGAAACCAGAAAACTATAGAGAACAAACTGAGGATTGCTGGAGGGGCGGTGGTGGGGGGAGACGGACTGGAGGGATAATAGGCATTAAGGAGGGCACTTGCTGTGATGAGCACTGGGTGTTGTAAGTGATGAGTCACTAAATTCTACACCTGAAACTAATATTACACTGTATGTTAACTAACTGGAATTTAAATAAAAACTTGAAAAAAAATAAACAAAGTTCCGATGTCTACATGGAAGACATGGAGAAGTATTTACAGGTAAGTAAATGAATGGTTTTATTTTTTATTTTTTAAATTTTTTAGTTTCAGGTTTAGAATTTAGTGATTCATCCCTTACATACAACACTCAGTGCTCATCACAGCAAGTGTCCTCCTAATGCCTATCACTCATCTAGGCCATCCGCCTGCCCACCTCCCCTCCAGCAACCTTCAGTTTGTTCTCTATAGGTAAGAGTTTGTTTCCTGGTTTGCCTCTCTCTCTCCCGCCCCATGTTCATCTGTTTTATTTCTTAAATTCCACATATGAGTGAAACATACAGTATTTGTCTTCCTCTGACTGACTTATTTTGCCTAGCACTATACTCTCTAGATCCATTCACATTGTTGCAAATGGCAAGATTTCATTGTATTCCATTGTGTGTGTGTGTGTGTGTGTGTGTATACCACATCTTCCTTATCCTAATGAGTTATTTTGAATGGATTTCTTTTCTACCCTTTGTGCTAAGACAACAGAAGTTTCCAGTCTCTGGAATCCTTTTTTTTTTTTAAGATTTTATTTATTTGTCAAGAGAGAGAGAGCACAAGCAGGGGGAGGGGCAGGCAGAGGGAGAAGCAGGCTCCCCGATGAGCAAGGAGCCCGATGCAGGGCTCAATCCCAGGACCAGGGACCATGACCTGAGCCGAAGGCAGCAGTCAGCTGCCTTAGCTTCACTGACTAAGCCACCCAGGTGCCCCATAGCTTCTGGAATCCTCAATTAAAGCTGCAAACAAGTTGTTTAACACTTTTAATAATTGTACATGATCGTCTGTGATAGAGAAGAACTGATATGATTTTTGCAGGCATGATTATTATGCAATTTCAAGACTGGTTTTCCCAAAGAAAAAATTGAGAACCTGAATATTGATCCACGTTTGTTTCATCTGCTGCTCTCACATGGCTATCAAAGTCTTTAGTACTCTTAACACTTTCTTACCTGGCACAGGGTACTGACTTGGAGGGATCCATGTTATAGATGTGCTTAAAGTTGTACAAGCTGATCACATCATTATTCAAAGTGGCTAATTCCAGGCAGCCAACGAAGCCAGGCAGGTTTAAGCTTGCTGGGAGCTGTGCAACAGACAAAGTCAATTACCCCATGATCGCATTTCACCCAGATGATACAGAACAGACAATGAAATAGATAATGGGTCAAGGGGAACTGCCCATATATATAAATATCTTTCTAGACCTGTGTCTCCTCTGGGCCAGATAATTTAGATAAACAATGACTTTTCAGCTGTGCATATCCAGTAGAGAGAATGGGATTTGTTGAGTATATACTATGTATCAGTCACATACTGAACAGCGAATTCAGTACCAAAATCAATTCTTTCAGCAGCTCTTTGTGGTAGGTATTCCTGTTTTCATATTAACAGAAGGAAAGTAATTCTCAGGTTCAATAATACGCCTGTAACTCGTAAGTAATAGCTTTGGGATTGAAATCCTACATCAACTCCCTATCTCCCTATCTGGGCCTTTCATTTACTTGCCCTTCACCAGGTCTCATACTCCAGCCTAGGTCCACCCCTTTCCTCATCCCAAGTATTTTATTTCATGTCTATATTAGTTGAAATAACTGAGGTATTGAAACTGTCATTGTGAACCTAGCAAACCCACAAGGTCCACACACTCCTGCAGTAGTGGGTGGGGGTAATATCAGTTACATATACATGTATCTGAATGAAATGAATTGATATTCAAGTGTTAGCTACAGCTTGAAAGCACTTGACACCATGAAAATATGGGTAGCAGAGACCAGATTTACATACCAGATTTATAGAAATATCAAGATTTCTATCCCACCCCCAAATCTTTGTAGGTTTTATGGATTTTTAAAAAGCAATCAGTGTAGATTTTCAGTAAGTCCAAATCTGGCTGGATAGCTTACCTTGAAGTTTGAAGGCACGCCACCAACATAAAACACAGTGTCCTCAGGGTCCAGATCCAACAAGGAGTCATCTCCCGCAAATTCTCCCTTTTTAATAAACTTTTCCTCTGCAGTGCTACTTAGACTTGGGACTGTCAAAAACACCTTTCCATGTTTTCCTACCCTGTTAAGAATTTTCAGTCTTTATTAGCCAGATAATTTGTAGAAAATGTTTTTTTAAATGTCAAAATGTGAATGTTCCCTCATCACAGAATTGGTGATTTGACTTTATCACATGCGTAAGCTTTTACAGAATGTCAACAATCAATGGAAAGAGGAAAAAGAAGATATTCCATCTTGGAAATAACGCATGGATTGGCCAGATAAAAAGATCGAATAATCAGATTGCTCTTTAGAAATGATGAGTATTTTTTTTCTAATCTTTTGTTTTCCACTTAGGTATTTGAGAAGGACTATAGGAATAATGGAGAAAAAGAGGAGCAACAATAAAGGGAAGAAAATGCTATTTAAACATCCACAGGAAGACTGTGTGTGTGTGTGTGCGCGTGCGTGTGTGCATGCATGTGTTCAACAGATTTCTTATGAAATGTGCACACAAGCCATGTTCACTTTACCTTTCAATCTTGACAATGCTGAAGTAGGCAGGCCAGGAACTGATGGGTTTGGAGTCCAGGGGAATCTCTACATCCTTAGCTCCCAAATTATAAATGTATACCAGGTTATCGTTTTTGATTGCAAGACCCATGTATTCTTTTTTGGCCTGAAATGTCAAGAAGTCACTTAAATACAATCCATATGAATGAACATCATATTTTGTTTTCATTTCTTTAGAAGACAATCATCAATCCAAGTGCTTGGCTGTCTCCAAGGCAAATCCAGCCTGAATTCTTACAAAGTTTCTGTTAGATTGGGCAGTGCCCCTTCCTTTCCAGCCTCCCTGTGGCTACAACAGTCTGCTGCCCCCTTGTGCGTGTCCAAGTGCATCCCGGACAGGGAGGCAGGCAACTGCAGGCTTGTGGACATTCGATGGCTTCCAGGAGTGTGCTAATCCTGTCTGGTTAACCCAGGGACATAATGCAGCCTGCTGATACCGATTGCTCTGCCTCTTCAAACAGGGTGCAGCATCAAACATAATAGGACTCTGTGTCCCCAGAGTCCTTGAAATGCTACATTCAAGGAGCAGTGTGAGGCTGATAATGAAGCAGCCCCAGAAATATCCCACACAGAGAAGGAATTACTTGTCTTTAAATCACTACTTCAGTCTTGGCATTAAAGTGATCTGTACTTCTTGAGTTACCAGAATGGGAATTTTGTTTGTGTGCATAGGTAGTTTTGTTTTAAGGCAAGAGAAAAGCACCTGTTTTTCCTTTGAATATTATTCTCTCTTTTCAAATGTCATGTTCTCCTGGGTGTTATATGCAACTGATGAATTATTGAACTCTACATCTGAAACTAATGATGTACTCTATGTTGGCTAATTGAATTTAAATTAAAAAAAGGAAAAAGTTAAAAAAATAAATAAATTTACTAGAAAAAAAACCATGTCCTGCTCTTACATGTTTGCTTCCGAGGTATAGGATGAAGCGGTCTGTAGCCCCAGCCAGCTCTGGCTGCTTCACGGGGGGAGGTTTCATGTACAGGCTCAGGGACGTGAAGGTCTTTAAGTCATCCATACTGGTTTTGGGGTGCACCTCAACTGCTGACTGGCCATCAAACATCATGGAGACTTGGATCTGGAGTTACAGAATGTTTCTGTTAAAAGCACCCTGCAGAAATGGGCACAGCTCTCTCCCATGGTTCCCAACGGGCTTTCCTCAGTCTTTATGGGCTCTCTGAGCCCTACTCCCTTCCTTGTCCTTGTTTTCTGATGTCCTCACCTTGTGGGAGAAAGGGGTCAAGGCAGATGATAATATCATCATTTAAATTTTAAAGTGGGGTGAAAGGAAGCCAAAAAAGCTTGACAAAGCAGATCCATGATGAGGATAAATACGAACTCCACAATTAACTACACACTTGGTTGGAGTGAACTAAACAGCTTGACGGGATTCCTGGTCAGTTATACAATTCATGAGGCCCATAAAATTAATGACGACTAATTGATCAGGAGAAGTATAACTCATCTTGGGTACTAATACAGCTAAAATTTTCTCCTCAGGGTCTTCAAAAGAGGAACATGAAGTAAGGCTGTGAGTAACATCCTTGAGCACGCCTGGACTGTTGGGAGGGTTCTAGATGTTGGAGTCTTAGGGCCTTGAAACCTGGTTTTGCCTCTTACTAGTTATGTAACCATGAGCAAGTCACTTAACCTGCAGTTTCTTCAACTGTAAAGTGCTGACAAAAAAATTTGCTGAATGAAATAAGATAACAACTATAAAGCACTTTCCAGCTCCTGGCTCTATCATCATTATAACTGTAAAGAGGAGTTCATTAAGATGGTTCTTATAATAATTCTTAGAAAGGCATCAAAACAAAGCACAATTCAGTAGATGTATTTCTGAGAGGCCCAAAATGATAAGCTGAGCTGATCTAGTTCAGGGTGATTTTCTGAGTATTCAGAAGTGGAGGGACTTTTTATATCCATGCCACTCACGCAAATATTTCTGAATAATTAGATGTATTGACATCCATTATTTTAATATTGATTTGGTTAATACTGATGGTCAGTAAACTCAAGATTATATTCCCAAGTGCCTAGAATACAGCTGTCTGTTGCTCGTTGAGTAAAAATCATCATCTTAATAAACAATCAAACAGTTCATGGGATTAAAGCCTTTTTGTTTGGTAAAAATTGAGTCTGAGAGGGAAATATATCTGCACAGAAAGCATCTCACTTCGGGGAGCCAAGTGGGCTCCCAAAGGCATTGCCAAGACTCTCTTAGGAAATGGTTTTAGGTGATTAAGTTCCCCAAATTCTTCTCCATTTAAATCAAATTACCAGAAAGCACTCACAGAAACCTAGCTTTGGAAATAACGTTTCTTTATGCTAAGTTTTCTTGAAATGCTCCCCAAAGTATCTAACAAAGGTAATTTGTGGTGTGGGACCAATTATCACATATTTAAAAGTTGGATATATTTACCAATAATAATCTCCTCCATTACAAAATAGTTTATTTCCAACTCTTCTTTCTGTGAGTAGTTAGGGCCCATGGTCTGTTCAGGCCAATTCGCAATTGAGAAAATAAAACCATATAATTCGGCTGTAAAAATGATGCCGGTCTATACATTAATAAAAAATAAATGAAAAAGAGGGCCAAGAATGAAGCCCTATTTACCACATTGAAACGTTAATTGAGTTTTGGTGTTGCCATGTGGCCTCTGCATCTCAGGACAGGGCCTCTGCTGAGATTGTTCAGTTTAGGTGGTCTGTGATTCCTCCGTGATGCCTGTGGAGGGGTCCTTGAAGGCTCCCTATTATCAGTGTTATACCAGAGAATTCCTTGAAGAGGTAGATGGGCAAGATTATTCCACATTGTAATTGCACTAAGACACCTATTCAAATAATTAATAATAACAAGACTAAATCAAGTCTTCTATTGGTGTTCGCTTTACTCAATTTCTTTTGCTCTATGAGCTTTGTTGACTAGGTTAACCCTGTGACTCTTAATCTTGGCTATCCATAAGAATCACGTGGAAGCTTTGAAAAAATACAGGTACTGAGCCCGTCCTCTAGAGAGCCTGATAGATGGCTTTGAGGTTGGGACTGGGAACCAGTTTAGTTTTCAGAGCTCCTCATGCAATTCTAATGAACAGATCCAGATGGTGCTTAGAACTATCGAAGTGGACGGGGCACCTGGGTGGCTCAGGGGGTTAAACATCTGCCTTCGGCTCAGGTCGTGATCCCAGCGTCCTGGGATCGAATCCCGCATCGAACCTCTGCTCAGCGGGAAGTCGGCTTCTCCCTCTGCCTCTGCTCTCCCCGCCACACCCCCCGCCCCGGTTGTGTTCTCTCATTCAAATAAATAAAATTCAAAAAAAAAAAGGAACTACAACAAAAAAGAACTACTGAAGTAGAAAGGTTCCAGGCTCTGGCAGCTGCCTGAGGCCTTGCGGTTCAGTTTCATGGTCTCACGATCAGCGAGTACTGACGCAGAGTCCTTTTTACCTTGCTGGCCACGCTCCTGGTCTGAGCAATAAGCTCCCGGATCCTCTGGATGCTGGCAGAGACGTTGCTCGCAGGCCGCTTCTGTTCTACGGTGCGGAGCTGATCCAGGAGCTGAGGGACAACCTCTGTCAGATTTCTTACTGCAGTTAATAAAAATTAATTACTTGAGTAAATATCTCAACTCTATTAACTAATATTAACTATATTTAAGGAATCAGGTGAAGAGACAACAGACACAGGGTTACTTCTGTGAGAACTATAATTATTTGTAATCCTGCAAAATGAATAGTTAAGCCCAATACATGAGCGATTCCTATTTTGTGGCAATTATAATGTCTATCGGTCTACAAAGTATTTGTAGAGTGAGCCAACTTATAATGTACATTTCTGAAGGGCAGGACCCACGACACATATACAGATGTTCCTTTCACCGTGTAGCACAGGGTCTGCTTGCATTTCTAATGGAACTCATATAACAAGTCTAAAGGAAGGCTGGGCAAAAGAAGGTGGGAAAGTTGCTTCCCAGGGTGCCTATTCCTACATCACACTGCGCTGCAATGGTCCACGCAGAGGCAGAGCTACATGGAGGAAACAACAGAGAACCCAGAAGAGTGGCAGTTGTGCCAAGGAGGGGGTAGGCGCCATGGTCTATGGGCCCAATAAGCATCATACTGACTTTGTAGGTTATGGTTTTTTTTTTGTTTTGGGTTTATTTTAAGGTATGAGGTACACGTAGAGAAAGGAATAGGGGCGCCTGAGTGGCTCAGTTGGTTAAGCACCGGACCCTTGATTTCAGCTCAGGTCATGATCTCAGGGACGTGAGATTGAGCCCCCGCGCCCGCTCCGCACTCAGTGGTGAGTCAGCTTGTTCCTCTCCCTCTGCTCCTCCCCCTGCTCACATGTTCTCTTTCTAAAATAAATAGATAAAATCTTAAAAAAAGAGAGAATAAATCATATTTATATGGCTAGATGAGAGAAACCCAAAACAGGGAGAATGGCATAACCTTCTCTAAGGTTTCATGAACTGGACCAGTGGTTCTCAACGTGTGGTCCACAGACCAGCAGCATCAGCATCATCAGGGAACTTGTTAGAAATGCAAAATCTGTGGCTCCAACCCAAACCTGCTGAATCAGAAACTGTGGGAGTGAGGCCCGGGTGATTCTGAAGTGCGTGAAGGTTCATGAACCACTGGACTAGAGAATGAATATCTTTTGGGTATTCTGCCAGCCAAGGGCAGAGCCATGGCCGCTAAGCTATAGCAGCAGGAAAAGAGGACGCCTCTTACTGGAGCCAAACTAAACTCAGATCCAGGAGAACTATGTCAGTGAGGACCAAGGATAAGTCCCTTTTCTATATTTAGGAAGTAGGGTGCTTCTCTAGCGTAAGGAATGGAATTAAGGAAAATAATAGCAATTATCACTTTATTGTATTGATTAATATAGAGATAAATATTTGTTGTTTGCATGACTGACCGCAGTAGCCATTTTAGAGTATAACAGTCTTTAAAAATTACAGGTAATAAAGTATATTTAATGTGTTACATTAAATTTTGATTATGGAAATGTATATTTAGGTTTTCCCTGTCCTCAGTTCTCTGAGAAAGGGAGCCACCTTTTATTGGAGTCTTTATAAAGTCTCTTATATTGTGGTATGCTCTTTCATTTACTTTGATTTGAACCACAAAATGCTATCTGAGGAAAATACGGAGGTCTGAAATGGTTTCAATTAGTGGTAGTTCTGGATGCTTATTGGAATCATGGATTGGATTGAAAAAGGAAGAAAACAATTTAACACAGATTTAGTAAATATTCCTGAGGCTCTGTATTTATAAATGTAAATGTTAGATGTCATGTAGGCAAATCTTTGAAAGATCAAGTTCTAAATGCAATTAGGTGAGCGGTTACATGGAAGAACTCACAAATATACACTTAAGAGATGAACATAACAATTATCTCCTTGTAATGGGAACGAATATTTGTGACCTGGGATAAAATTTCTAGTGAAAGACGGATCATATATGGATTAATAAAGTTGTTTCTTAACTCAGGTGGAAGTGAAGGTAATATGTTCTGCAAAACCATGCTGGAGAACAGAAAGTTCTAGTCATGACAAAGGCATTGATATTTAAGAGGTAGAAGAGATTAAATAAACATGGTAATATGTGATTTTAATATCTGTGTATAACTAAATAAATTAGGTAGATAACAGAATATTTCATTTTCATTGCTATAAATTTGTATTCAAGCTGGCCAACAAACTGTTCTTCTATTTTTTTTTTTTGAGATTTATTTGTTTATTTGAGAGAGACAGAGAGAGAGCATGCATGAACAGGAGGGACAGAGGGAGAGGGAGAGAGAATCTCAAGCAGCCTCCATGCTGAGCAGGCAGCCCGGTGTGGGGCTTGATATCATGACCCGAGATCATGACCTGAGTGGAAACCAAGAGTCGGAAACTTAACTGACTGCACCACCCAGGCACCCCCAAGCTGTTCTTCATGCGAACCTTCAGTTATGTTTGGCAGTAGTCAGTACTTGTTGGTAATAACCTGCTTTACTCAGGTAAGGACAAAGCAATGCAGTTTAGTAAATATATTTCCTAAAAGTAAACCAATATTTTGTGATTGATGTTCTTCCCCAAAGGAACAGACTTAACATTGACAAAAATCAGTGTTGCCACTATTTCATCTAGAAAAAAAATGATTCTTAACCAATCTCTCTAGTGTTTTTTATGTGAAATATATATTTCACATGCACACACACATACATATATCGATAGATGAACTGAGCAAAATTTTTCATTTTTTCTAAGCTAACTTCCACAATATTCCAATCTAACACCCAAATGAAAAAAAAAATGCTTCTTAACGAAAGACGTGTTGAGCTTAACAGCCAATTCAACTGGATGCAAACCGTGATACCTGCATCTCGGGCAGAGTTCACTGCAGTGTTGTAAGCAGAAGAGTCAAAACTCTGAAGATTTTGCGACCAGTTGGTTAGATTGTTAGCCATGGGGGCGGCTGCCTGCTGGACTTCCATTGTGGTCTTGTTAGCCTCCTCCGTGATCAGCTTCGACTGACCCAGGCGCTGCTGAGCGTCACCTTCACATAGAGCACAGGGACACTCACTTTGCAGAGAAGTAGGACATTTGTTGGGAACATCAACATCCATTTAATCACTGGGATAAAACAGACCTCAAGTTTTGGATTTTTAAGCCGCACAAAGATCTTTAAGTATATGTTAATTATGGTATAAGTTAGAAAATTGTTAAGGTAGCATTAAAAAGTGAGCTTGAAAGACTCTAGAGTCTCATTAAAATAATGTAGCCCACTTAAAACATTTTCAAATTAGAGGTATATTTTTTAAAAAGTAATTAGTATTTCTTCAGGTTAGAGACCTGGTGAGAAATCCACAGAAAACACGTATGAGATTTTATCTCATAAAATGTTCATGTCTGAAATCATTGTAAATATCACTTTCTTCTATGTGGGACACCTTTTGCCATAAAAATGATGTTCTACTACAGAAGTAAATCAGTAAGGAAAATTATTTTTAAATAGAAAAAGCAAGTTTCAAAATATTATCTATAGTGATATTCTATTTTTATTAAAAAATGTGTATTTAAAATAAAAATAATGTAAGTTTACAACAAAATGTTTTTTCCTAGGTAATGAGCTTATAAAAGATTTTTCTTCTTTCGTTCTTTCTTTTTCTTATCTGTATTTTCTACTCTTTCTATAATAATCATGTATTACTTCTGTAATAAAAGTCACTCAGGTGAGGTTGTAGCTTTACTTTTTCTTAAGTGGAGAAACATTTAATTCAACCTCACACGATCTGAACTCTGACGGATGCAGCTTTGAATGCTGGGTCTGCTTCTTTTGGGAGCTGTTCCCAAACCTTGACAAGCCTTAGGGTTCACCACCATGTAAAGGCAATGGTGATACTTCCCCAACGTGACATAATGTATATAAAACACAGCGCAGTGCCCAGCATGTGGTAGCTCTGATGGTGCTGATGACAGCAATTCTCAATGGATGACACCTTCCTGGTTGGGCTTTGGGTGTACTATGATACATTAGCTGGATTTGCTCCGCATAGGAGAAAACTCACATCCAGCAGTAATGTGTCCACTTTCACTATACCAGCGAAGGCACATCTGGTTCCCAGCCCATCTTTTTAAGATACCACTGTAGTCCCAGATTAGGCAAAATGAATGCTCTTGTGTCTCCATTTGGCTTGGTGGTCTCCCTACCTGTACTATAAGAATGACATGGCATGTAACAGAGGCAGCTATTTACAGTTGGGGCCAGAGAGATCCAGTAACAAAATTAGGTCATATTTATTAACGAAGAAGGAATGTTCACAAGGAAGTGGATTACCAGATAGTATAAGCAGCATGATCTCATTAGGGCACACGCACACATGCACAGGCACAAGTACACACACACACAAATGCTCTCAAATTTAATGGTCACCCCTAGGTGGTATGATTATAGCTTTTACAATTATTTTCCAGGATGTGTGTGTGTGATGAACATAGTTTCTTTTGTCACCAGAAAACAATATTTATTTATAAAAGGATTTCAAGTAAGGGATCATGTGCTCCTTCCTCAAGGGTTTATTTTAATCCCAGCGAAAAAACAGATGAGGCTTAAGTTCTTGTCTGTGACCCCTACCTCTCTCTGTGGCTTGTAGTCGCTTAATGGCATCATTCAATCTGTTTTTGAGAGCACTCTTCCTTGCTAGGGCTCCATCCACACGCCTGTTGGTGTCAGCTACTGCCTCATCATTGCCTATGGAGAAGAAGAAAAAAAAAAGTACGAGTAGAGCCAAGATGCTAGGGAAAAAAAAATCTCCATTTCAACAAGGAAAATTCTGATCTGTACCATGGAGTTATCTATAATATTCTGAATGTGGTGCGAATGTAGAACACCAGTATTGGAAAGTGGCATTCCAATTAAGAGGTACAGGACTATAGAAGACTAGTAACACTGCTTGGGAGTGATTTAGGATGCCATAAAGTGACTCATAAAAGGTGCAGAGATAATGGCTAACTTCTTTGAAAAATACAGCACTGCTGTGACTTACAACTCTTAGCAGCAGAGTTGATAAAGAGCTGAAAAGAAAAAAAGTCTATATTTATTGTGATAACTGTTATATAAGAATAATTCTTTTTTCTTAATTTTTAAATAAAATTTTAATTGATATACAACATACATCTAGAAAAGGGAGCACATTATAAATGAATTTTCACAAACTGAGCACAGAATATAAGCAGTGCCAAATCAAGAAAGTAGAACATTATTGCTACTCAGTTTCCTGGGCCCTCTATGATTACCCAAGGACGACCACTATTCTGAATTCTATCTCCATCTGTTAGTTGTGTCTGTTCTTAAACTTTATTCAAACAAAATGATACAGTATTGTAATTTTTTATATTTTTTATATATCTGTTTTAATTTCTGTAGTGTGATAAGTCTTGATATCTGGTGGTTTAATTCTTCCAGCTTTGATTTTATTCTTCAAGGATTGTGCTGGCTTCTTGGCTCCTCCCACACTCATTTCCGTAGAAATTCTGGGATCATCTTCTCTATTTACATATAGTTCTGGTACTTCAGTTGGTATTATATTTAATCTATAGATAAATTTGGCAGAGTTGTCATTTTTACAAATTTGAGTCTCCCAGTTCATACAGTTTTTATTTATTCTTCTTTAGATCTAAATTCTCATTTTGATCTCCACTTATTTAGACCATCTTTAATTTCTTTCAATAGCATAGTGTAGTTTTATGTGTAGAGATCTTTTCTTTCATCAGCTTTATTCCTAGGTATTTTATGCTATTGTAAATGGTGCTATTTTAAAAAGTAATTTCCAATTTTATTGTACATAGAATTAAACTGGATTTTTACACATTGAATTGGTAATGTGGGGTGTCTTTGTCTTGTTTCTAATCTTAGTGGGCAAACTTTAAATATTTCAGTATTAATATGCTTGCTGACTATTATTTTATTATTCTTTCTTAGATTACAGAAGTTGCCTTCTATTCTTAGTTTGCTATGAGTCTTTTTGAAACATGAATGGATATTGAATTTTGTTAAATGATATTCCTGCATGTGGCGTGATGATCATAAGAAATTTCTGATATATTCTTTAAATGTGGTGAATTACTACTGATGTTTTAAATGTTACACTATTCCTGAAATCCTGGAATAAACTTAACTTGGTCACGTATTACCATTTCAGTGTGTGTTAGATTTGATTTGCTAATATCTTGATTAGGATTTTCACATCTCTATTTGTGAAAGAATTTGGCTTATAATTTTCCTTTTTTTATAATGTCCTTATCAGGTTTTGTATCTTAGTTTTGTTGGCTTCAATAGAACAAGTTAGACAATACTTCCTCTTTTTCAATTTTCTGGAAGAATTTATATATGAGTGGTGTTATTTGTTTAGATGTTTGGAAGAATTCACTGGGGAAGCCATCTGAGCCTTGAGATTCCTTTGTGGGAAGGGTTTAATTACTGATTAAACCTATACATACATATGTACATATAAGTCTATCAGATTTTCTACTTGTTCTTGTATCAGGTTTGATAGTCTTATTCTTACAAAACAATTCTTGAAAGTGCACTTGCAACATAGTCTCAAAATGGCTTATTCTGGAGCAAATCTAAACAAGTCATGATGTAATATCTTGTCTGAACTGAAGGATGAACTTTCCCAAGGATTCTTGGTTCATGCTTTGTTTACTTCCAAAGCATCAGGAAATTTATGCTTTTTGACAAACAGAAATCATTTCTTCACTTCCTATTATACTCTTCTCTTTCTCTCCAATAGGCTTGTAAATATATACTCTCCCATGGTGTAATTTCTCTTTTCTATTATAGTCTTTGTGCACTTGCCTTCTTGTTCGGTTGTCTTTCCCCACGTGGGTGTAGTGGGTATAAAATGAGTGGTGCTGGGTTGATTCTGTTACCAAGTACAATGTAAAGAAAGTACAGGCACTTCTTTCATATTTCCCCTGGGGAGTGCCAAAAATTTCCCAGAATACAAGGAGGGACTTAAACATACTTTGTATTACACCCCCTTCTCCCTTTTTTCTTTCAATTTTTGAATATTCATAATACAAACAATCTTTTCAGATCTTCCTTTTGGGTTTTGTAGCTGCAAAAAACGCTGACTCGTACACTGAAAAAGAATATATTTAACTCTATATTTGGAGCCCTTGATAAAAATAGGTGAAGAAAATTCTACTTTGGGCTGGATGTTTATAAGAAAAAAATGTTTCTAAAAAGTCTTTGCTATCTGAAACTTATTGTTTTACATAAACATTTTTCATTTTACAAATGAATTCAGTAGAAGATTCCTTTAAATAGCAGCTTCCTGAGTTTATTATAGATTGCTAACTATTTGATATAGATAATGAAGAAAGGAAATCTGGGATATAAAGATTACTGATCATTGAAAGTCATTTGGAAATGAATTAATAGTAATTTGAAACTGTAGTGTAACTCAGTAGATATAGTTTAATCTGAAAATCTGAATTTATATCACAAATGTGTGTTGTATAAAGGTAGGCAAGTTCTGACCCACACAGTCCTAACTCCCCATGGATGTCCCTTTTGCAAATAAATATGTGAAGAAATTTAACCAAACAAGATCATGAAATAGGTAACCAGATCTGCAAAATATCCAGAGACCAATGCAGAGAGATTTTATCTGTACTTAAAATACAGAACTTTGAAGAGATATTATTACTGGGAAAGAAAAATTGTTCTCATGAGGTTCAATAACTCAATAATGACAAGACTGCATTGCAAATTACCAAGGAGAATAAAATATTTAAGTCACTGTGTCCTGAAGACCCACATATTCTGGTCTTCACATCACAAGAAACAAAGCAATACACAGATATGGCAACATTTATTTAAAAATATTTTACTTTTAAGAGTATACTTATCATGATGAGCTCTAAGTAATGTATAGAATAATTGAATCATTATACTGTACGCCTGAAACTAATATAATGCTGTATGTTAATGATATTCAATAAAAAATATATTTTACTTTTATATTCTAAATTGTTGCTGCTAATATTCTTTTGTAAAGAGTATGTTCAAGACTAGACTTATATAATGAATGAATTAGAAGAGAACATTTTTATTGCCTTTGTTTACCCAGCAAACATTAAATAATAGTTGCTTTATCATAGCTAGTTAAATATTCTGCGTAGGAAAAACAAATGCATTTTTTTCTCCATATAGTGCTCTTTGTAAAAAAAAAAAAAAAAAAAAGAAAAAGAAAATGCATGGTTAGAACTGAGATTAACTGCTTTGAGAAAATTATGTGACGTTTTCTGTTTCGAACTTGGTCTTTGTTTTTAGGCGTTAGTTAGAAGTTAGCTAGATAATGGATTTCCAACCTCATTAGTCAATGTACAACCAGCCTTAGGTATGAGTTCATTAGCTCAGAGATGAGTAATGTTTAGTGAAATTCTTAGCCAATGCAATTGTTTTTAAGAGTAGCTCACAAGATTCAAAATTGACTAACATGATTTTGCTTTTATTTTTTCTTCCTTCCCCACTTGGATGTTCTTGCTTTCATAGATGCAAACACTAACCTTTGGAAATGCTTCTTCCCATATTGTCACTGGCTTGTTCTAAATGCAGTAAACTTAGAGAACACAAACTACAGGAAAGTGCCAATAACCACATGGCTCTGTGGTATCCTATCCTCCTGACTCTCCCAGTGCTGACTCATTACTTCATGTAAAATTTTAAAGGGCTTTCTGAATTGTCCCAGAAAGACTAAATTATGTATAATATAGTTTTAGTGTTAAGTGTATTTTATGGCATTATCTCTTGGTTTCTACTTGGTCATGATCTTGGGGTCATGAGATCAAGCCCTGCATCTGTCTCTGTGCTCTGCGTGGAGTCTGCTTGTCCCTCTCCCTCTGCTCCTCCCCCCACTCTTGAATAGATAAATAAAATCTTAAAAAAAATAAAATATCCAATCTCTGCTTTTTTTATATCTTGAATCTCAGCAGGAACAATTAATGTACTATTCAGTTAAAAGATCATTTGTTCTTTAATCCTAGAATTTTGAAATCTCTATCCATATGCAGAAGTACTGTATGAAAGGAGAGAAGCAGCTATAAATCAGAAGAAAGGCAGGAAAGGGAAGATATTTACTAGGATCTGTCTTGGCTTGCAGTTCTCTGGCTTGACTGAGGAGGTTCTCACTCTCATCCTTATGGTAAATGATTTGAGTATCAATCCCACTCACAGCCTACAAAGGAATTGCGTAGAAAGAGTAAGAATTAGAGCAGAAGAAATCCACTTTTCACGGATTGAGGATTTAAATGACACCGTTTATCTGTTAGACACCAAGTAAAATTCATACAACTTCATTTCCATAGCTCAAAATCAAGGTCAAAAGGGAACATGAGAAAATAAAGTCCATGACGAATTCAAGATAAATGTTTTTCAAGGAAAATTCGGTGAGTCTAGAACAGCGTCTGGCCAAGGTCTCACCAAAGTGCTTGTCAAATAGAAGCCACTCAATAAACAATTTTTGATTTGAAAAAATGTGAATGTTGCATAAAGCATCTTCTCTATCAGCACGGACTCATCTTAAATATGTTTTATTCAAGGACTGTGGTTTAAAAAGCCTGTCAAAGGAACTGGCATTTGCTGACAGAAGTATGGCACATTTTGAAGAAGTTGTGCTACTGAAACCTTCATAACAAAAATAAATTGGTCTTTTCTTAGTTCTCTTGGCCTTTCTGCCATTTACATTATGGTGGAAGCTCAAGCAATGATATTAGAAAACAGTAAAGTCATAAGCTGGGCAAAGGCAATATACAAATGAACTTTAAAATAAGGGAATACTCGGGGTCGGGGAGTGTGCCTGGCTGGCTCAGTCAGTGGAACATGTGACTTAATCTCGGGGTTGTGAATTTGAGCCCCACGTTGGGTGTAGAGATTACCTAAAAACAAAATCTTAAAAAAAAATAGGAATACTCACATCATAAATTCGGTCAGTGATATTCAAAGCCAATTCTGCCGTTTCATTTGCTTCACTAACATAATTGACAATATTTTCATAGACATTTGAAGCATCCAAAGCCTTCTGCACCAGCCCATTCATATCTGAACTGTGCAAATTCCTGTTAAAGAACAAACGTGTCATTATTCCTCTTTCTTACTTTTGTGGGAAACGGGGCCATTTTTACTGCTTGATTTGAATACTTCTGGGACCCCAGGGACCTCCTTTCTGTTATTCAAAGCCACCTGGCTTGGTAAGGTTTTCCCCAGCTGCCTTTCCTAAGAGCACATCTTCTTTGCTCTCCTCTGCTTTTGGTGCCTCCAGGACTTTACCCCATTTTGGCTCCATGGAAGCTGTTTGCCGGGTAGTGGCCACAGGAAAAGGGAATGATGATTTAAAAACAGTCCTCTGCACCTCTTCAAGCAACAGTTTGTTTATGTGGTGGCAGTCAGGCCCATGAATGAACCCACAGTCCTCCCCCACCTACTTACCCAAATCAGCATTGTTATTTCCTTTGCATAAGAGAAGACAAGACTCTCAAAGATGGTGCACAGCCTCAGCATGGTGTTAGGTATTAGTTGGTTTCACTCTATTTATTCAACCTTCTGTTCACTTTAGAAAACATCGTATTTTCCCTTAAGAAGGGGAATGATACATACTGAATATCTATGTGCAGATTCTGGGCTAGCCTTGTTGTGTATAATATGTCTTTAATTCTCACCACACCCGTGAAGTAGACATTGTTCTTCCCTTTTCATAGAAGGAACCAGGGTGCATGTTGTTATGGTCTGTCTCCCTCCTGCAGCCCAGCTCCTTCCTTAAACTGCAAAGCCCTACTCACGGCCATTTCCACCCTTGCCCTCTACACCATGTTCTCTGCCTTGACGCCTTTCTGGCCTCTGTAAGGTTCATCTATTTACTGGGTACCCATCATGCACTGGGCACTCTCACATAGTGACTGATAACGGTATATGCCTCAGATGACTGATGTGAGGTACAACAGGGATAAACTATGTGAAATGCTTGGTCCTGTGCCTGTCATCCAATAAACATCAGGGTTTATTATTGTGCCTAAACTATTTCCTGAATTGGAATTTCAAATTCTAAGTGTATTCGTAGAATAATTCACTTTATTGACAAACACTTCTTCTTCCTCTCTAACATAAACATCCCTTCACTGCCACAGCACATCTTGAATCCTTTGCCTCAATTTTACTCAGTTTTAAATATACCAGTTGCATATTTTCTTCTCAGTCCCAGACACTGATGACTATTATCACTTGATTCATCAGTAACTTCCAGAAGATTCTCTGTGACCCAGTGTGTGACACTGCAGATCCCACGCTGGCTCATCTCTTCCAACTGCCCTGACCTATTGAACTCAATTGATTCTCAGCTTCCTCCATCCAGTTTCAGTCCCTGTGTACTCTCTTAGACTCAGAGTGACTTCTTTGTATTCCCTTGGCTACTTTCTTCTCTTTTGTCCAAGTTCATCATCATTGGGCTCCTTTGCAGGAGGGCTGACTTATCCACTAGGCATGATAGGGCCCCACAAAGACTTTCTCATTTTCATTTTTTTTTAATCAGAAGAACAGTAAGGATACTAATAATGATTATATTAGTCTTAACAGTAGTCTTACAATGCTATCATTAGTCTTAACAATAGACTTAACAATGCTATAATGATGTGATTTTTAATTTTTTTATGGAGGAAGGGGCCAACAGAGGTAAAAGTACCTAGGGCCCAGGAAAGTCATAATGCAACTCTGCTCTGCAGAGGTAATTCTAACCCAAATATTTGCTACTTTTTCCTACCCACAACCGGTTGTTCTGTTGTTCTTAGAAATGGCACAGAGAGGAAAATCTGAGGAAGTTTTAAAAGAAAGGGATACAAGGAATAAAATGTTACATGTATTCATTAATATTTTAAAATTTTGCTGGCTAAGATACAAGAAAGAGATTAAAAGAGTCTTTAATACCCTGTTTTCATTACTAGGCACAAAACAGGTACTGCATCAATACATAAAATAAAATGGGCTTTTGAAATGAATGTTTCTTGATGAATTATGTTTATCTCTGTTTTACGCACAAGAAGCAAATCATTGGGTCATCAGATAGATGATGAAGAATATTCACATTTTGAGGGGAAGACATTTATAAATTTGGATGTTTCCATGAATATATCCAGTCTGAAATATCCTAGATGCAAAAGGGATGTCAGGGTGATTAATGTTTCTGATCATTTTTTCATGTAAAGCATGGGAAACTTTCTTAGAATCATGCTAGAACACTGTTTGTTGCATTTAATGAAGGTAAGGGTTGGGATCCCAATCAACAGGACATAGTCACTAAGATGACAAAAGAACAATGAAGAGAGCCACAGGAGTGATCTCAAAAACAATTATTATATCAATACAGCATATTGTCCAAATCGTATTTTTTTAAAAGATTTTATTTATTTATTTGACAGAGAGAGAGAGACAGCAAGAGAGGAAACACAAGCAGGGGGAGTGGGAGAGGGAGAAGCAGGCTTCCCGCGGAGCAGGGAGCTCGACGTGGGGCTCGATCCCAGGACCCCGGGACCATGACCTGAGCCAAAGGCAGACGCTTAAAGACTGAGCCATCCAGGCACCCCAACCAAAATTGTATTTTATCTAAACTTCATTTTATTGGTTTGATCAAAAGCAAATTTCCTGGAAGCATGACACTAAGTAGTTATAATGCCATCTCGGACACCCAGATTTTACAGAACATCTATTTCTCTCTGTCTGTCTGTCTGTCTGTCTCCTCTCTTTCTTCCAATTCTCAGAAGATTTGGAGGGATCTTTGAAAATTTTGACAATCAGGAATAAAAAGGTAGTTGAAGTTTGAACAAGAGTTATTATTGGTTCTTATTTTATTCATGACCTTTACTGATCCTTGTTTCTAATTGCCAGGTTTGTAGTCTTTCTCTATAATTATCTCATCATTTACCTATCATTTCAAGGTCATGAATTCAATTCCAATCTTTCAGTACATTTCAATGAACGTTAATTGAGTGCCCAAAGGGTATGTGACTCTCTTTTAGATGGTGTGAGGAAAATTGTCAATTGATTTTCTCTTAATCAGGTGTTGAAATCAAACATTTCCTGCTGGGCACTATAGAGTGTCTAGAGTATTTACCAGAAGTCAATTGTATTGCCAACTTCCAACCAGCTTTATTTAAGACCCTTGGGTATGGAAAGCTAATGCTGTCTGTGAAATAAATATGTGATGGTGGTAGAATTAGACCTTGTAGAGGGATCTGATTTACTTGATAATGTTTTTTTTTTTTTTTTAAAGATTTATTTATTTATTATTTGAGAGAGAGAGACAGAAAGGGAGGGAGGACAGGGGGAGAGGGGGAGAGAGAATGTCAAGAATCTCAAGTAGACTCTGAGCGCAGAGCCAGATGCAGGGCTCAATGTCATGACCCTGAGATCATGACCTGAGCCAAAATCAAGAGTCGGCTGCTTAACTGACTGAGCCACCCAGGCGCCCCTTACTTGATAATATTTTGTGCAACAGTTATGTACTTAACCAAAATGCCTTAGGTCACCCTATTAATAATTATGGAGCAGAACCACCCCTCACAACATAGGTCTCTAACCTGACAGATTTTTTTTTTAAACCAAAAAACTCTCCCCAAAGCAATGACAATAAACAATGATTGGCTGGCTCTCAGACTGACCAACCAAGCAACCTACAAATGAACAAAAAACACAACCCAAAACCTAACCTGCCAACCTGTATCCCAGTAACTCTGGCACGTGGAATTGAATAAAAACGAGTTATTCAGCCTATGTAGATATTTGCATTTCTAAAACCAGGATATTACCTGCTCAATTCATCAGCCTCTTGTTGAAGGTTCTGTGCATGGTCAACAGCTTCTTGGACTAAATCATGACTAAGGTTACTTAGGTTGGATAGTTTTCCTTGTAGTTCATTTTTGGCTCCATCTATTTCCGCATAAATCCCTGATGCATTCTAAAGAAAATATTTTAAAAAGTGAATTGAATATAGAATAACTTAAAATCTTTTCCCCAGGGAGCACCAAAAGATAATCTGTAGTCTTCTTTATTATGAGGTTCAGTAAATTTCAGGCCAGGTCTACAGGAGTCTAAGATACTTTAAGTAGACTTTTGTCTATTTCTCTTGTATCTTCAACAACTCATTTTCTACTATTGTTTCCCTAGCTTTCAGACATGCTCTGCTTTCTCCCATCTGAAAACAAAACAAAACGAAGCTAAACCAAAAACCTCCATTACCCATACATCTCCCCAGCGTTATTACCTTACTTTTCTATTCCCTCCATAGCAATATATAGTCAAAAAAGTGTTTATGTTAGCTGTCTACTCCATCACTTTTTTTAATTCACTCTTTGACCCACTCCACTCTATTTTTTACTTTACTACTCCAACAAAACAGAAATTCAAATTAATGATATCTAAGTTACTGAATCTAATGAGCATCATTTTTTCCCCCAGTCACTCAAATAGTGATTCTAAACATTGGCACCATTCTTAAGCCAATCATATTTCCTTCCTCCATAGCCATCTAATTCTGGATAGATCACTTTCTTTTTCTTTTTTTTATTTAGGAGACAGCAACTAACTGTAGTGGGGATCATTTTTTCTGTACTCCTGAAGTTTCTTCCCTATAAAGGGAGCTCAGTTGGGAAGCCTCAGACCTCTCCACCCCTTTCCTCACTCTGCTCCTGAAAGGGGGACCGGTTTATTTGATTGGTAAATTTTGGGGGAATAACTATGTAGGTTCTGTTCAATTCTACCTTCTGCCTCTTGGTAGCAAGCTGCCAGCAGAAAGCCTGAGTTTTCCTGTGTTTGTCCCTAATGAAAGTTGTTCTGGGCAGAACCCCTACATGAACTCTGCCATGTTGCCTGCCTGAGTGGGTAGCTCTGCCTAATTCTGGGATTGAATATTAGCAACCCCGCTTGGCTAAGAGACCTAAAGCCATGACCTCATCTTAACTGCATCAGAAATGAGGGTTATATTCTTGGACTTTATATTTACTATTTTATTTATTTTTCAACTTGTTTAGAACTTGGGAGCTGAAAGGGGGTGATATTCTCCTCACGGACTCTAATACCAACAAAGAAGAATTGCAAACAACTCTTTGCCACCATCCTCCGGTCTCTCCCCCCACCAAAAAACCCCTGTACAGTTATTTATAGCTACATCTTTATGTACATCTTCCTCATAGTTTAAGAGGAAAAGTGTTCCTTTTCTGTATAAGGCACGCTGCCCTATTTTCTGTTCTTCTTGCTCCCTAGCTACTGGCTCCTCTCAGATGTAAACATGCCCCAGTTAATCTCGCCCGTTAAAAACAAACAAAACCTATTCCTTGACTCTAGCTTCCCCTCCAGCTTCTTTTCTTTATTGATGCTGTGCATTCCACAAAAATGGTTCTTGCCAAGGTCCCCAGTGTCAGACACCATATTGCCAGATCCATTTGACACTTTCCTATCTTTATTTACTGGATTTATCTCTGGTTTGTGACAGTGTTGGTCACTGCCTTTGCCTTAAAACTCTCTTTCCCTAGCTTCTGTGACATTGCTCTCTCCTGGGTCTCCTGTTTCACTGTCTAAGAAGGAGACTTTAAAAGTTGGTGTTGCTCAGACTCGACTCAGCCCTTCCCTTTCTGAATAATCTAACTTCTCTCCCAGCCCAGACTTTGAATCTTTTAACCTACTCCGCACCATCCTATAGGAATGGTAATCTTTCTAGTAAGCAAATCTGATCATGTTATTTTCCCTCTCAGAATCAGCCAATTGCTCTACGGGAACAAATCTGATTACTCAGGTGGCTTCATCAACTGATCCCTCCGCTTTCATCAATCTTATCATTTCTCATGTCTCCCCACCACATTACGTACCATGGTCCAAACTTCACTAACTTATGTTTTAATGCTCCATGATTTTTTTCTGACCCCCTGTGCCTGTTTCACATAATATTTTCTCTGTCCGGGATAACTTTGTTTTCTTTTTTGTCTGACCCACCTGGAAAAGTTCTACTCATCCTTCCAATTTTAGCTCAAATATCAATTCCTTTATGAAGCCATCCCTAATTTCTCCAGGATGAGTTCAGTGTTGCCATATATTTCTATTGTCCATGTGCCACACTACCATAATCATTTTACCTGATTTTTCCACCCACCAAACTACATGATTGTAGAAGGCAAGAACTGTGCTAATTTATTTTTGTATTCCCAGAATGTAGCACAGTTCCTAGCACAGAGGGTTTATTTCTATGGAGAGAGTATTAAGTCTCTACTCATTTGGTAGGTCAGCTGGGGAAAAATGCTTTGAAAAAAATTATATTTAGTTGTATAAACAGGAAGAATACCATGGACATTCCACCTTTACTCATTAACTCATTCAACAAATATTCATCATATGCCCACTATGTGCCAGGCACTCTTTTAGGAGATAGAATACATAGCTATGAATACAGTCTCTGCTTTCCAGTAATTTAAAACCTAGTGGGAATTATAGATGATAAACAAGAGATCAAATGATTGAACAAGTTAATTTCAGGGAGTAAAAAGCATTTTGAATAAAATACAATAGGTGGGATGGGTTGGAGGATGATTGAGGGTAAGAACCCCCTCTGAATTGAATGTTCACAAGGATAACAGCCATTTGAAGATCTGGAGACAAGGAAAAGTATGGTGTGTTTGAAAAACAGAGCAGAGTTGGAGGGTAACAGAGAGGAGTGGGCTGGAGGGTAGTGAGTTGGGGAGAAATATACAGAATGAGGTAGAGAGCTGGGCCAGAGCCAGGTCACTTAGGGTCTCATGAGCCATGGTAAAATGAGCTTGTTTCTGAATCTAAATGTCACTGGAGGTTTTATGAAGGAGAAATAATGTGATCTGATTATGTTTTTACGAGACTGTTCTGCTACTGCATAGAGAATGAGTCTTGAGGGGCAAATGTGGAGGCAAATGACTCAGTAGGAGGCCCCTTGGGTAGTTCATGCTGGTGATGAGGTGGCTTGGACTACAGAGGAGCAGCAGAGAAGGGAGTGGTCAGGAATCAGGACTCATTTTGGAGTTAAGGTCAATAGGTCTTGTTGAAATGGGAGGGAGGGGAAAGGAGAAATCAACAATGACTCCAGAATTTTGATTGGAGCAAATGGGGTTGTGTCGCTTACTGAAGTGGGGAAGACTAGGGAATGAACAGGTTTTACTCAGAATATGTTAAGCTTTTTTTTTTTTAAGTTTTTATTTATTTATTTATTTGAGAGAGAGTGAGAGAGAGAGAGTCCAAGAGGGGGTAGGGTCAGAGGGAGAAGCAGACGCCCCGCTGAGCGGGGAGCCTGATGTGGGACTTGATCCTGGGACTCCAGGATCACGACCTGAGCCGAAGGCAGTCGCTTAACCAACTGAGCCACCCAGGCGCCCAGAATATGTTAAGTTTGATATGTCTATTACACATCCAAGTGGCAGGTAAAATTATGATTCTGCTATACACCACACGGAGTTCTTCCTTGAAAACTTCAAGTAAGCATTTGGATATAAGAGTTTGGGACTCAGTGAAAGTATGGAAGTTGGAGGTATAAATTGTGGGATCATGCATATAATTGTTCTTTAAAGCCATGGGATTCAATGGGATGAACTAGGGAGAAAGTGTAAGTGCCAAAGAGGGCCCAAGACTGAGAACTGAGCCAGTCATTATACCAGAGCAGGGATGGACAGAGTTCTGGGCCAAAAATGGCTCAAGGCCTGTTTTTACATAGCTCCTAGCTAAGAATATTATTTATATTTTTAAAGAGTATTACTTTTTGTAAAAAATAAAAACAAACAAAAAATAAAAAAGAAGAAGAGAGGGTGGTTAAATGTGGCCTGCAGAGCCTAAAATATTTACTACATAGAAGATGTGTAGAGATGAAGCTAGCAGAAGAGGCTGGGAAAAAATGGCCAGTGAGGTGGGAGGAGGGCCAGGTGAGCGGGGTACTGGAGGAGCCAGGATGAAAGCTCTGAGTGTTTAAATAAGGAGGAAAGGTTAATCAGCAGGGAGGCTAAGAATGCTGAGGAGGGAGAAGCAACCACAGTTTTGGCTTATGTTGAGTTCACTGATGACCTGGATAACAGTCTCGGTGCATGGGCATGAAATCCCATTTGGAGTGGGTTGGGTACAACAGAGTGAGGGGCTGGGAGGTAGAAATGACAATGGTAAATGACTCTTGAGGTGTTTTGCTGTGAAGCTGAGCAGAGTAGAGTAATGGGGCAGAGATTAGAGGGGATATAGGCAAGGTCTTTCCTTATTTATTTATTTATTTATTTATTTATTTATTATTTATTTATTTTTTTAAGGTCTTTCCTCTTTTAAAGGACAGGAAATCCTTAGAACATGTTAACATTTTGGTAGTAATGGTCCAATAGAGAATAAGAATTGGATGACACAGAAGAGAGAGGGGATACTTTGGGGAGTACTGAGCTGAGGAAGAATGGGACTCAGAGCACAGGTGGGGAGGCGGAACTTCGATAACAGAAGGGGCGCTTCGTTACTTATACGAGGAAGGAAGGTACAGGTGTGAATACAGATATATGTGGGCTGGTAGAACTGGGGAGGGAAGATTAGGGAAGTTCTCTTCTCTTTGTTCTTATTTTTTAGTGAAGCGTGAAGCAAATTCACCAGCCAGATTGATAGACGTGGAGGTTGGGCTGTTTATTATGTTGGCTTCGTTGGTATGGCCATGATGCTGGGATACTTGGGCTTACTGGGATATGGGAATAGAATTCTCATGTGAGTACAGTAGGGGAAGAGGTGGGTATACAAGTTAAGGGTGTTTGCAAGTAATGATTATGCAATAGTCCCCTCTTATCTCTGGGGGATAAGTTCCAAGACCCTTAATGGGTACTTGAAACTGGGGATGGTACCGAACCCCATATATACCATGGTTTTCCTATGCATACAAACCTATGATAAAGTTGAACTTATAAATTAGGCTCAGTAAGAGCTTAACCACAGTAGCTAATAATAAAATAGAACAGTTGTAACAATATACTGTAATATAAGCTATGAGAATGTGGGCTCTCTCTCAAAATATCTTATACGGGACTCACCTCTCTTGTATTGATGTGAGATGATAAAATGCCTGTGGGATGACATGAAATGAGGTGACTGATGCAGGCATCATGCTGTAGTGTTAGGCTACAAGTGACCTTGTGAGGATACGTGAGAAGCAGGATCATCTGCTTCCAGACAGAGGTTGACTGTGGGTAACTGAAACCATGGAAAGTAAAACCATGGATTAAGAGGGACAACTGTATTGATCATTTTAGCTACTTACGGAGGGAAGAGAGGATATGAGCAGAGGATATGAGCTGGAGGAGCTCTCCATGTGGCCAGCGAATTGTTGGAGTGGGTTTTCCAGAGTAAGAGAGGTAAGAGAGGGAGGGACTTGATACCAGGATTTGGGAGGAGGTGCTGTTATTGATGACAAGACCTGAGTATGGCCATAGGAGGGATAACCAGGGTGGGCTGGAGGAAAGGCTTGTTGGGCAGGAAAAGTCATAGGAACTGGGAGGTCTGAGAGCTGGCGGGCTCATCCATCTGGATTTTGATGTCACCAAGATAGTGATGGGAGTAGGGCTGGAGAGGAAGACAGAGAGCTTGGTGCTGAAATGATCAAGGATGAGATGGTGATCAGATGACTTTAAAATGGTATCCTTTCAAAGGCAATGAAAATGAGCTAAGAGTAATTTGGGGACGGTCTGGCTCACTGCCTTTTACTAGAAATTTTCTATGTTAAAATGTGTCTCTTATTGATTTGAATGTTAGCTTTATTAAATGCACACCTTATGAGTAAAGAGTGAGTAGGATGGGTCTAAGTCACACTTTCTGCAAGGAGATCTGTGCTGTCCAATTTAGTAGCCATTAGCCACATGTGGTGCTATGGAGCACTTGAACTATGGTTAATTCAACTGAGGAATTCAGTTTTAATTTATTTCATTTTAAGTCATTACATTTAAATTTAAATAGCCATATGTGAGTAGTGCCAACATACGATGAAGGAAACTAAAAAATTAAGTCACCTGATCTTGCTTCTATAGTGCCAGTTAACTTGACAGATTTGAATTGGATTCCATTATTGTTCTGTGACACTGAGTGGCTGTTCCAATCTGCTATAAATACAAACCTACATGTCACATGCATCCCTACCTTTATTGTATCATCAAGTTCTGAAAGGGTCAGACGAGGTGTTGTCAGAGAATCCAAAGACGTCTTCAGAGAACCGTTCACCCCTTCCATTTGTTCCCTCACTCTCTCGTGTTGTTTCTATGGGAACAAAGAATAAGTGGGTGTGGAAGAGAAGGTCACTTTAGAGGAAGCATCAAGGAGAGTGGTCAATGTCACCTCCTGTCTCTGCTCCGATAAATCTTGGTTCCTATCCCAGCCCTCCCACCTAATTGTTGTGTGACTTTGGGGAATTCTACCCATGTCACGCTCAGTTTTCTCATTCATAATATGGAGATAACAAAAGTGAGCACTTTGGGAGTTTGAAGCACTTAGTTATGATTATTACTTATAACATCATCACCTCAAAGAGAGTGATCACTTCGGAGAGAGCCGTTGGCTTTGTCTCCATAAATGTAAAGTGGAACACGGAATGCAGGATTTCACAGAGGCTCTGTATTTGCAGTAAGTGGAAAATGAAGTAAATCAAAAAACTTTATCACGTGCTGACTTTGGGCCAGGCACAAATAGCTCATCTGGATAGGAATAAAGCATATACAAAACAATTTTGAAGTCCTTTAAAAAAATTTAAATGGCCCTACTACTAAAGTATAAAATTGTGATCTTCTGTCCTAGTACTCTGAGTTCTTTATGTTAGATGCTCAGACTTTTTGAGGAGGGAAATGGCCCAGGGGTTTTTAGATGAATGCTTTAATTTCTACCTTCACTGTTGGGTTCTAGAAGCAGGCATGCTGTGATTCTGAAGAAATATTAGAAAACTTCAAACGAGTTTGGAGTTTGAAAGCAACCAGAATGATACCTCAAGAGGGAAAAGTAAGACTCATTTTACAATGAGTAAAAAATGAGTTGAAGTTACTTTAGAAAAGGTAATATGAATGGGAGTGAAATATATGACTTGCGGTATAATCTAAGATATCGTGGGAATAATTACAGAAGCCCAGATATAGAAGGACAGACTTTAAAGCTTCCAAAGTTCATCTTCGTGTCTTTCACGCTGCCTGCAGTCTTTTCTAATTTAGTGGGAAGGAAGACGGAAACCATCTTCTCCAAAAGCATTGCTACAGGGGAAGATACAGGTCCAAGGACAGAAAAGAATCCCATTCGAACATCTTAATGCAAGAACATTACAAAATCAATTTCCCCTCAAAATCCATCAAGCTTAATACAGGGTGACTATCTTGAGTTAATTATTCTTGTCTCTTCAAGGAGAGGTAGTTATACAGCTCTACACAAAAGCAATATTTTAAAGCATGGGTATTGAGCTATGTAAGGAAAGGAGGTGAAAAAAGGTTGGTATTACTTAGCTCCTTCAGAGCAGTTTTCCTTTTAGAGAGTCTGAGATATGACCCCTGCTGGAAGCTCTTGTATCTGGGCGCCTTAAGGGAATATAGCTAATGCCCTGAAGCCCTAGCCAAATTTCAAAGCCTTGTGGTAACAGCGCTGAGTGATAAGTTCATTTGCAGTAGTTGGAAAATGATATGCTTCAAGGGAAGGGGCTTATCACTTATCATATACTGTACTCTTCATAGATAGCATTAGACAGAAATGAATAAAATTAGCTTTGAAACAAAGATACTCCCACAGAAAGAAGGTCAATATGAACAATTAGCAATAATCGCGCCTCGGATAAACCTCATTGGCTACGATACTGCCACTGCGCAAAGCTAAGGTCAGTATGAACAAAAGAGAGTTTTGAAAACCAATAATTATGAAAATGACACACAATTAGCACTATTAGGCATGTTCAGTATCCATTTCACAAATGCAAAGAATAATAAAAGTTTCCTGATCCTTACAAAAAATGATAGAAACAGTCCTAGGAAGGCAGAGCTTTGGTTTAAGAGCTTCTCTGAACAGTGCCTGTTAAAATATAGAATCTTACATTCATCCGACAAAGATTTTTATCATTCTATTACCCTTTGGGGTGAGAGCAGGACGGTGAGATAAATAATGCCATTATTAGCTGTGTGGCTACCATTTGCACATATCAAAATGATTAAACTGTGTGGTTATTTTTGGTTTTGTGAAAAGACTGGAAATTTGCTGTTACTCTTTTCCAAGCTGTGCTGTAGGTCTCACAGTGAAGTGTGAAATTGCAACACTCAAGCTGAGCAGGCAAGACAGGGCCGTTAAGGGATGATCGCGGTACAGAAACCGGAATGTCATAAGGTGCATTATGGGATTGCTGAGGAGAGCGCCTGTTCACCTGGGAATGGGGGGTAGGCCTCCCGGAGGAAGTGACGCCTGGGGAAGACGTCCATGTTGCAGGCAGATGGGATTACAGGGAGTGTGATACTGCCTGAACTGAACGTGGGACGCAGGGACTCCGCAACAGATGAGACCAAGGGGGCTGGCAAGGGTGGATCAGACAAGGTCCCTCATGGCATGTGAAGGGGCATAGGCTGTCCTATAGGACAGGGTGTCAAATGTTCTTAACCGTGACCCACAGTAAAAAGTGCAATTTGTGTTGCAGCGCCGAAGCAGAAATGCGATGAAACCATACTTTCTTATAGATGAGGCGCTTTGACGGTTTCTAATCTATTCTTTCTTTTCTTTTTAGAAAATGCTAGTTATTCAACTATACTTCAGTTAAAAAAAATAAAAGGCTGTTTACAACCCTCCAAACTTATTTTATGATCACTCCGTGGTTCACAAGCTGCAGTGTCGAAGGCACTGCTATACGGTCAGAAGGAAAAGATGAAGGGTTTTAACAGAGCAAGTAATGCGGTCAGAACTGTGATGGGGGCGGCAGCTCAGGCTGGGTGGGGTAGGGGTGTGGGAAGGGAGCAAGAATGGAGGGGAGAAACCCGGAGGCTGTTTTGGCCGCTATCCTGACCATTGTTATTCTAAAAAAAAATACTGGCTGAGCGATTGCTCCTATTAGAAAATGGTGGTGATAAGGGTAATTCACTTTTACTTAGGAAAATTTCCAGAGGCTTACAGAGAGATGGTCGAAATTTTTTTCAGATTTTTGATATTTTTTTCAAATTTCATCATTTTCAGATGACTGAAAATCTGGGCGGAGAATCTCACTTAAGTTGGCTTTGCAGACAATAAAAGCGAACATAACTGAATTACGAGCATAACTGAATTATTCTCATAATTGCTTCCTAGTTTTTGACATTGCTATTTCACTCTGATCTTTATAAACATGTCCAAAGATGCACGTGTCTTTCTAGCAGAAGATGGCTCCTCTCGATGGTGGTGGTTGTGAGTGCCTACACTGCTTGGAACAGCCGTGACCACCACCAGATCTAAGCCCCAAAGGTGGGCATGCCCAGATCCTGGCCCCATAGGGATGCCTGCCTTTGCAAGCTGTGGCTATGTCTGGGAATTTCTCTCACCTCTTTGTATTTGTATGACCTTTGGCTTGAATTAGACTCCCTTTCCCTGTGGCTGCTGACCAGCCAGGCTGTGGGATTTGCTTATCATACCATTCCAGAAATTACACATACCCTTCTAAAAACATGGTTCTGGGTTGCTTTGGTGTTCCAGTGTTCTCAATTAAAAAAAAAAAAAAATGGTAGACATAGGAATAGCACATTGCTAACTCACTTGCCAGAACAACATATCCACACACACAGACACAAGGACCAAGAACAATTGCGTTCTTATCAATGCAGAAGCTAAACAATTATAATGCTTTCAACTCGATTTTAGGTGCACACAGTTACATTAGCAAATTACAGTGGCAAAAATGCATAAATATTTAAAAAAATATGAATGCTTGAGTATATCAGTATTTTTAAAAAATTGCATGCCAACCATTCCTTCTTGTTAAAACTTTGTGTTGTATATGTCTGAAATGCATTTACAGGTAACGTGGCCACTGTACCTCGTGGTCCCGCTGCTTGGCTGCCGTGGCTCTGTTCATGTCTTCGGCATCCCTGATGTGGTCAAGAGCCTGGTCCAGTGATTCCTGGAGGTCTGACAACTTAGCACTGTAGTCATCCAACTGCTCCAGAACGACAGGGAATAGAGAGCGAGTATCATTGGACAGCCGCTGCCAACTCTCAGCCTGGTTCAACACTGGGGAGAAATGGACACAGAACCTCAGTCTGGGCTTCTCCTGCCTCCTCTCATTCCATCTGGCATTTAGCAAAGACACAAACTTGTCAGGCCATGCCTTCCTTAGCAATAGAGACTGAAGCTGTTGTTCATAAAAATAGCCATGTGTTTTATGTTTGAAGAAAGAAAAACTATGTTGTAGGGTTTGAGGGTCCCTGGATGACAGTTAGCCAAAAAAAAAGAGTTTGATTAGGTTTTCCATCGAGATTATGTTTTTTGTGGAAACCATGGCATATTATGTTTATTATTTTTTTGTGGAAGCCATGTCATTATATTATGTTTATTATTACCCAGATTATTAATAATTTTACCAGACAAAGGGGTTTGGATATACTATAGTTTTACTCTTAAAAAACAACCAAAATTATCTTATCTGTTACTGACATTTTCTATATTCTCTTCAGGCAATTGCTTTTAGGTAGCTTCTTCAGATCAAACCTAAACCATTATTTTGCGTGGTATGAAGATTCAATGGCAAGGATATATTCTTAAATTCTGTATATGTCTTAATTCTCTGATCAAAGTAACATGCATTGACTACGTGCCTTAATTCTCTTTTTCTTCAGGGACTATCAGTCTGACTTTTCAAGGTTTTGTATTTTCTTTCATTACTGTGAGCAGAAGATACACGTTCATGACTGAGTAAAGAAAGTGGTTAAACATGCATTGACCAGGTGGAAGGTGGCTAAGTGGGAGATGTGATTGGTTTCATTTCCCCAGGGCAGACTCATTACATTCTAAAACAGGCAAGAAGTGTGAAATCATTTGTCTGTGACATCAGAGCTCCAGGCTTCCTGAGCCCTGGCTTCATCCTGACCCAGATATGGGGCCTGAGATTCTTCTTGAGTTCTTACTGTTTCTAAGACTTTATACATTTGTTATGGTAACATGCCTTTAGGTGAAGAATGTTCCTCTTCTAGAATAGTCACAATAATTTTTAGAAGTTGATAGTAATGATCGTAGGGAAATAATGCAGAGCAGGTGTTCTTAACCCTTTTTGTGCCATGGGACTCTTTGCAATCTAGTGAAGCCTTCAGGCCCCTTCTTATCATCTATTTTAAAATGTATAAAATAAAATACATAGACTTCAAAAGAAGACCAAAATATTAAAAAACAAATTGGTGATATAACAATACATGTGCTTTTTTATTAAGTCTGAAATAACAAGATCTAGAGGTGGGACAAATAACTACATAATTTTGAATTACTGATGAACTGAATGTTGTGAGATCAGAGTGCAGCTAAAATCCAATACCCAAATCCGTGGCTTCTTTTGTTGATTGTGTAGATTAAAATGGACAAAAATTCTTTGCAGCTCTTCTCATCAGGAGTAGAGTCTATTTCCTCACACCATTAATCTGGGCCGGTCTGGGTCAGTAGGATAGATTTGACACAGCTGAGTTCCATTCTTGCCTTCCTGGAAGGCTGCTGCCATGTGAATGAGCCTGGGTGAGACTCCTTGAGGGTCACACCCGACAAGGGGGAGAGGCCCAGCAATCCTCGCCAAGGTCCCAGACATCTGAAGGAGCCCAGCTCCTGCTGCATGGAGCAGAGATGAGCTGTCCAGGTTGAGTTGAGCCCAAATTGCCAATGAAATCATGATCAAATACATGGTTATTTTAAATGAAAACGTTTGGGGTGCCTGGGTGGCTCGGTTGTTAAGCGTCTGCCTTCCGCTCAGGTCATGATCCCGGGGTCCTGGGATCGAGCCCCGCATTGGGCTCCCTGCTCAGCGGGAAGCCTGCTTCTCCCTCTCCCACTCCCTCTGCTTGTGTTCCCTCTCTCGCTCTTTCTCTGCCAAATAAATAAAATCTTAAAAACAGAAAAATGAATGAATACGTTTGGAGTGAGTTGTTAGATAGTCGTTGATAACTGATAGAGTGACCAAGTCATAGGTTCGCTAATACTACTGTGGTTTCTTGCCTACATTCACCATTAAAGGAAATGTTCAATTTGCACTGGAGGTTAAAAGTTCATTAAAAGTCATTCCCAGACCTCAGAACATGAATGCTGCTGGGCTTGTAGCTTTACTGCCTTCTTGATACGTGATTTCTTTTATTGTAGTTCTGAAAAGTGGTTCCCCTTAGTTTTTCTTCTCCTGTTTTATACATTTTCACCAACTGTAAAGTCCCTATATCTTCTCCTCAGGAGTTTAAGTTCTATAGATTCTATGTGGAATCTCAGCTGTTTTTCAAAAGCTCAAGGTTGGGCCTGGATCTAAAAATCTTGATTGTACAGGTAAGTTGTCCTGACTGAGTCCCTGAGGCCATGTATTAAATTCTAAACAGCTGCAACTAGGGGCACCTGGGTGGCCCAGTTGGTTAAGTGTCTGCGTTCGGCTCAGGTCATGATCCCCGGGCCCTGGGATCTAGCCCTGTGTTGGGCTTCTTGCTCATTCGGGAGTCTGCTTCTCCTTCTCCCTCTGCCCCTCCCCTCAACTCATGCGTGCTTGCACGCGCGTGCGCTCTCTCTCTCAAATAAATAAATAAAATCTTTTTAAAAAAATCTGCAAATATTGGGGATTGCTTGCTTTGACCAAATGTTCCCCTGTGGCTCAGTATCCTCTCTTGGACCCACAAAGGAAGCCGACACGTGCTGCGTCCTAGGAGTTGAAAACACCTACGTTCATGGGCTTCGTCTGCTTCTTCATCCACTAGCTCCCTTTGTGTGAGAAATGGTTGACGGCGTCTGATCTCCTCAAGCATCTTCTGGGCCAACACCAGCTTCTCAGAGATTTCCTCAGAGGTAAGTTCCTGCTCCTCCCCATAATAGAGCATCTTGTTGTTGATCTCTGAAAGGAAGGACACAGTGAGAGAAGAAAGCAGGGTGAGGTGTCCGGGCATTTCACAGTGATGCCACTAAATACATGGAGAGTGAGGGCAAAGGGCAGGGCTGATCCTAAAATGGAAAGAGGGTTTCCTTCAAAGACAGTGTACTGATGTTCATGCTGCAAATACTGGTGTCAGCACTGGAATTCACCATATATTTCAAGGAGAAGTAAAACTTGAGGAAACAACTCTGTTTCCCATTCATTTGGTGTCTTCAGAATGGGAATGGGATTAATACAAAGCCTGTCCTAACTTCAGCTGTGTCTGGTTTCCATAGCAATTCCCGAACATTAACATCGAAGGCCCACAAATCTGGGGTCTTTGATCAACCTTTTATATAAAATACATAACTTGGAGAAAATCCTCTGACGTATCTCCTGTCATATGTAGGATGTGTTAGAGGTATTAATTATATTTTAGCCAAGGATCTGACCAAAGCTCTAAACCAAAATGAGAGTATATTAATAGTTGTTCAAGTGGATCTTTCAGATTATTCTACAGACCAGATATAAAAATAGAGGTTTGTTATATTGTGATGTGAGTTTTTGTTCATTAATACATATATATATATTTATATATTTTGTGTATACACACACAAACACACACACATACTTTGCAATTGCTATCTGCCTTCTGTAGTATGACTGTCAAGATTGGGCCATTTTGATTCTGGGTCATTTTCACCCCACTTCTGGAGAATTTTAGAACCAAAGGGATTGCTGATGCTCAGAGGGATTAGATGCATTGTCTAAATACCAGCAGAGCTGAGTTGTTCTCTGACTTTCTCTTCCTACTAAATATGATCAGATGAAAGTTATGTAATTGCCACCTTGTCCTCTGACAGCTCTGGGAAGAAGCATTTTATCTTCCTGGCATAAATGAAATTGTGTGTCTGTGGTTTACTATGATCTATGCGGTTGGCCAGACAAGATGGGTAAACAAACACTGGTGTCACATAAATCATACCAGATAAAGGCTTGTATTTTATATGGATAATAGCTTGAAGGTCACTAGGAGTTATTTTACGGATGGTTGGGAAAAAGGAAAGACACACTCTTGGTACTGTGTAGCATCCCTGAATTCTGAAGGAAAGGAGATGAATGGGGTAAGAGGTTTTTAACACCGTAAATATTACTGAGAAAGTTATAGGGAAACCAAGATATGCTAGAAACAAAACTATGAAGGGATTAAACATTCACTTTTCAAGTGAAATCTATAATCTTAACTCTGGAAATAAACAAAACATAGATTCCCTGCACCCCCCTTAGATCTATCCCTTGCAGCGCTGAATTCTCTGGCATTTTGATCCAAATATTACATTTTCAATTCTGGCCTGTTTTATTTTAGCCATGTCTGGTGTAGATTAGAAAAAGGAAATGTAGACAATAACATTTTTGCCTTAGTCTTTGGAGACTATTCATACATTATTTTTAAAAGGTAAACTGATGGAAATTATTGTTTCCCATTTACATTTTTTTTGTATGTCTTTCACCTTTTCCTATGCTTAAAGGGTCAAATAGAGGGCTTAGATTCCTTCCAAATGAAACACATTAGAATAAAAAATTTGTAACAGCAAAGGTGAATTATTTTCTCTGAATGGCTTACTAGGATGCTGGCTTTATTTGCTGCCTAGAGGGGCATTTATTTCTTAATTAGATGAGGTCAGCTCATCTAGGTTCAATCTTACTTTTGGAAAAAAAAATAAATAGTAACTCTAAAATGAAAAAAAATATTTTATTGGTAGATGCAAAAGCATGAAACAGTGAGAACGGGGTTGGGGGGGGTGTTTGAAATGCATGCCATTTATTTTTATTGTGTATTATAGCCACCAAAGGAAATATAGCAAATGTCTCATCTTGGCTCCATTCATCCGTCTGCCTGGAATATGTTCCCTATACCTCAGGATAAAGATGGGACTTTCCCACTGTGGGCTCCTTTGCTGCCATTGTGCCCTGAGATGCACTTGGTGTTGTCACCCAGCTCTTCATATATAGGATTAAAGCTATGGAAACACACAAATATTGTATCTTCGCAGACTGTAAGCCAAGGAAATTCTCTTTATTTTAGAACAAGTGAAAATGCCTGTTTTCTGTTGGTAAATGGGAGGCTGGCTTTCAGTGGGCTATTAAGGTAGTCTTCAAAATACAGCCAACACTTATCAGAAGTTAGAGCACAAATAAGTACTCCTCTAAGAGGGAAGGTAAAAATCTGCCACAGTGCTTTAGGGCAAAGAAATCTCACACGCCCCCTCCAGGCTTTTCTTCTGGCTTGGGGACCAGAGCATGTTGCTTGCCTGGTCTTGGGGAAATGGCATCATAGAGAGAGCTTAGGACAATTTGGACTAGTGGACAGTTTCCTGCCACTCTAAAGGCAGTGTTTTTGCTGCAAATAGTCCAGAAAAACATGACTCCTACTCAACTTTTTCATTTTAGAGACACCATAGCATTCCATTTCTTCTGCTGGAAGGGTATTCTGGAATTCCACTTCCTTGAAATGCCTGGAAAGGGAATGATTCTATACATTTATTCTTGACAACCAACAGATAGTAAGTAGGGGTGAATGCTCAGAAATCCTAGATGGACAAACTGGAAGACCTTATATGTAATACATATAAAATATCATAAATGCATATATATTACCTTATATATAACACCATAACAACAGTTTCTGGCACATAGTGAACACTAACAGTAGCCATATTTTTGTTGTTATCAACACGAATGAGTCCTTGACATTAAGCTGCATGAGAAGAGAATATATTTACCTTGAATTTTATCCCTCATCTCATGAGCTTGCTCCACAAGCTGAGTTGCGTGGTTAATGGTATCCATGCTTTCCTTCTCGGTCAGCTTGCCCCTTCTTGAGACTTGACTTTCCTATAAATAATCCATATAAACAGCAGCTTAAATTTACGAGAAGGGAATGTTCTATCTGTGCATGTAGTGGTGGGTGGGCCTAATATGTTCCATAAACATAAATTTCCTTGGCATGTGAAAGTTCTATAACATATAAAATGGTCCCAGAAATCATGCATGAAGGCTGGTGTTGCAGAATGCTATAAAATCAGCTGTGTTCCTATGCCATCAGTCACAGTTCAGTTCAAACCAACCGCCTTTCATATAGAATTTACTCTTCGAATTTTTACTGTATCTCACGGTTCCAGACTAGGAAATTACCCGTGTCTGCTGACCACTCTGACATTGTGCTGACGGAAGAGCTTAGAGTTTCACAGGGGAAATTGTTGAGAAAGTAGGCAGACCTTGAAATGCTCCTTGCGTCCAGTAGCTCCTGGGTGGTCCAACCAGCGCTGACACTGAATTACCACAGAGATTTAAAGGATTATGCTGACTGGGCTCAATGCTGTTTTCAGTGCTGCATTCCAAATTCCCATCAACACTGATGGCACTTGGGTACAAATAACTACTCAAGCAGATTTGGCTCGGAGTGAATGAGACTCTTCTCTGAGAAGCGGACTCCCTTCTCTCCACATGGGAGCTTCTGTTTCCGAGCTCCCACGTAGTATTTGTCAAGACGAAATCCTGACTCAAATGCAGGTTCTGGAAGCATGGTTGGGTGTGTATGTGGACGTGCATATTTCTGCGTGTGTAAGGACAGAAGCTCACCTAAGAAATGGTTCAAGGCCAGGACACTGGCCTGTAGGCACGGCGGTGGGGTTGTGTACCGTGTACTTCCTTTTAGCACTAGAAAGATTGGCTCATGGGCGATATGTAAGCAGAGAAGGAGTTTTTCTGTCTGACACTTGGTAGATGCCTGTTCGCCTCATCTGGTGCTTTTCTGGCTCGGTTCTCTAACAAAGTGCTGCCCCATCTGAGTGGACTGCAGGGTGGTCTGCCCCCCAGCATGCTCATAGACTCACTGCACAGTTTCACCAGGACAGGGGAGTGGCTGTGTCAAACGTCTCTCCTCTCCTCCAGTGTTCCAGCCAGACGATTATGCCATGGTTTTACCTGGAAAAGCTCTTATGCTTTCCAGGCATAACCCACAGAAGTGGCCCTTAGTCAAGGAAGACAATGCAAAAATGGTATCATAGCAAACATGTGCCCTAGAGGTTTTTTTTTATCAAGCAAGTCCCAAATCTCTTCCATATAAAGCTCCCTGTGCAGGAGTAATGCGACCATCAGATGCTTCCCGAAACAGTGGGCTCTCTGAATGGACATCTGTGTTCTGAGTCATGGGTGTTCCTTCCTCCAATGCCTGTCTTCCTCTTGCCTTGTTCTCATGCTTTCCAGAGACACGAAATCTGTGCCCATTTTAAAATTATATGATGCAGAAAATAAGATGACTCTTATTCTGACATCACCCCTCCCTGCTTCTAAAAATTATGAACACAAACATTTAAACCATCTAGAAATTTTCAACAAGTTGATTTTTGATCCAGTTTAAATTATATTTGCAAGGCACAACACTTATTATTATTATTTTTCTTACTTTGGCTTAATCCTTCAAAGAAAAAGGCCTATTGTAATTATTGTCGTCGTTTAACGTATTTCTTTTTAGGAAACTTTGAATTGAAGCAATGAAAGGCAAGGCGAGGCTGGAATACGTCTAAGAAGACTTCTTTTTGACAAACACCAGAGGGCGCTTAGATATACACGTTATGTTTGACAAAAGAATCAGTAGTAAAGAGCACAGCCTATCACTTTAAATTGCAAACTTACTGGCTCTAATAGATGTGATACCTTATTTGAAAGTTTTATTTATTTTTTCTGTAACTTTGCTCATGGGAGAAAAATAACGGTATAGGCCTCTGGTAAAACCGGGGCACCTTGCTTTAAGAAGAGCTGAAATTAAAAAATCAACTCACAGCTATAAACCGGTTGATGGTTTACATTACAAATAGATGAATCATTTACTCCCCTCAACAGCAAATTCACCTTGTACATATTTGACATAAAAAGTGGCAAGAACTTTTCGGTAATACAGGGTGTATCTAGATTACTGATTTAAAAAAAAAATCAACCAGACTAAGTGAGGATGATAATCAGTGTCTAGGGTGATCATATACATTATTGCTTAAGCTGTGACACTTTCAAAAGTGAAAGGGGAAACTTTTAGGAATCACTCTGGGAGACAAGCGTAAATAAGAACAGTACTGGACGAAACACTGCTGGAATACTGGTGTGCCATTTTCAGAATGTGTATAGGGATACATACTGTGGGTTTCCCTATCTCCTGAACATAGATGGCTTCTAAAAGCTTTTCCAGACTGGATCTCTCCTCTGAGTTACTGACTCAAATCTTTCTCTAACTACCCTCTGGGCATCCACAACTACCCTCTGGGCATCCACAGAGAAATATCCAGAGTAACCCGTTCTGTAACTTTATTTTTTGATATTTATTTATTTATTTATTTATTTATTTATTTATTTATTTATTTATTTAAATGTAATCTCTACCCCCAACGTAGGGCTTGAACTCACCACCCTGAGATCAAGAATTGCATGCTCTACCGACTAAGCCAGCCAGGCGCCCCCATTCTGTAATTTTAGAATAGGCATTTCTCCAAGCCAGAGCTTTCCTCCTTATTAATCCTCATGTCAATTGGTCACCCAATTGTTCTTATTCTGCCTGCCATTCTGGCCTCTCTTCCTGTTCCATACGACCAGTCTTGATTGATACCTGATCACTGCAAATTCTTTTCATATGAAGGCAAGGTAGCAATCAACCACACTTGTCTAGATTACTGAGGCAATTTTCCAGACTACTGGTATCCATACCTTCAGAGTCTTCACTTACCAATCCATCATCCCTACTGCAGAGGAATGTTTTCAAAATTTCAAATCTGATCAGTTCATTGTTCTATGTAAATACTTCAATGTTCTCCAGAGTCCACAGGATGAAGTCCACATGTTCCTGAGTGTGGTGGTCAAGGTTCCTCATGATCTGGCCTCTGAGAATTTCTTCAGCAGTATCCCGTGTTCCTTGCCTTGCAGCTAATCTTTACTAGGTCAAAGGTTTTCTAGTTCTAAGAACACACTATGAATATCTCTTTGCTCTTGTGGTATTTTCTCTTGCTTGGAAGTACTTGATAAACTCCTAGAGTCATTTTTGAATACGTGGGTCAATACTCAACTTCTCTGAGAAGCGTTCCCTCATGTACCCCTAGTGAACAAGTTCATTATTTCTTCCTTAGAGTTCTCTCTTTAGCTTGTACCATGCCTCTCTTATTGAATGCTATGTTATAATTATTTTGTTTTATGTATCTGTTTTTCCTGCTAGACTGTGAACTGCTTGAGAGCTGGGTTTATGCTATATTATCATTTCATTTCAGTATCCCTAGCAGCTAGCACAATCACTTATACACCAGGTAGTAAGTCATGCTTTCAGAATTGAAACATATTCTTATTTTTTACCCTACCTTTCTGTCAGGATCAGAGATGAGGCTCAGGTGATTTTGATGTATACAGGTGACCTACTTTTCTTCCAGTCCTAAACATCTCTTTGATGCACTGATAAGCAGGGAGCTTTTGTTGTGGCTGAAGGAGTGGGGTGGAGACAGAGGAAATGGAGGAGATGGAGAAGTGGAGGGGATAGTGCAGCACCTCCTGAACCAGCCCTTAGAGACTGGGCTCTGTGACTTGGGGCTCTGCACTGCAACTTCAAGGTCCAGTTGGCAAGGGGCAGCCCTGAGATCGAGAGAGGGCCACCACCTCCACTTTTGCTTGTAGCCTAGTACCACTCTGACTTTAAGCATGGTGGCTTGGGATTGTGGGAAAGTGGAATCTTGACATTGTCTTTGGCCTTTTCTTACAGACATGATCAGCAGTGGTGGAAGTGAGGTCATTTTGAGCGGTGGCTATTTGTGAATACAAACGCATGGACATCCTTTAGGGGGTTCCCAGAAGTAAGAGGGCTGTAGAATTTTCCAAAAAGGGGCTAGGAGACTTGGTTATAAAGATTGGGACAAAAACTGGTCACTTTAGGTTAATGTGAACTGTGAGATTTGGGTCTCATGAGATTTGTGTGACGATTTGCAAGCAGGTATTTTCAAGTTCAAGAGGCAACATTACTGTGATTTAAAAAAAAAAAATCACTGTGGGAACCTGCAGTGAAATCCTTCACTCTATTTAAAGGCAAATATTAGTTACTTTTGTGGTAGAAGACTTTCGAAGGTAACCCTTTTCTTAAATCTTTCTAAGAATCAATCACAGACTTTTCTAGATTAAAGGATTGAGGGATGCTTGAGAAGTCACTAAGACCAGCTCTGGGCATTTGTTTCAAAATGTTTTAGCAGGTTCTTACACCATCTGGACGGCTGTCATAGTTAGAAGGACCTTATTTTCAATAAGAGTCAGTGGAAACAGCTGAAAGTTTCAAGAGCTTTATCATCAACCTCCTGATTTGGTGGTCTGTTCTTGGTCCCCAGGAGCCTTTTCTATTGTGATGTCACTTTTAAGCTCAGGCTATTTTCTCCCTATGAAAGTCTGCATTTAAGTTACACTGGAAATGGAAAAACTGTACAACAAAAGGATCAGTAACTCTGTGTCTGAGCAGTGAGAGGAACTAATCTTGGGGAAAATATTTTCTCAAGAATTGAGACATTTTGGGCAAATTCCAACCATGATACCGAAATGAAAAAACAATGAGTTTTTCACAGAGGTTTCTTTCCTGGTATTTCCTTTGAAACTTAAGAGATCTCACTGCTTTCTACATATGCTTGTGGTTGGATTAATATGCACCACCACATGGGAATGGAGGACACAATTTTCATACATATTTCAAAATAGTTGAATCTTCCAAAGATGCAGTTAGAATAATTCATGTTTTTAGAAGCATAATCTCTTAAAAGTTTAAGAGGTACAAGGTCAAAAAAGATTATCAGAGTTATTTTAACCTTTATTTTTGTAAAAAATAAGAACTGTTTTGGAAAAGAACTTCAATAGTTTATAATGTCAAACACCAACGTCTGAAAGTAGAAATTCCAGAGTACTCTGGTCAGTAATGGTAGAACATAATCAGGGGGAAAAATGTGTCAAACATTTTAATACATAAAATATGGCACCTTGTGACTTAGTTATGTTTTTCTTTATTAGTACAGATGATGGATATTTTTTCCATTAGGCTCCTGGGGAGTGTATTTAATAGACTTTCATGTTGACTCTGCTCCTGTTTTCATGTTTTTCTTGTTAATTTGTGAGAGCTATTACAAGCCATATTTTCCTCAATATTTTTCTTAGTCTAGTCGATTTTTTCATTTATTTAGTTGTTTTATTGGGTATTTGAAATTTTATCTTGTCAAATCTATTACCTCTTTTTATTATAATTCTTCATGCTATATTTAAGAGTACTGTTATTTCCTTTCAAGGTTTAATGATTATTTAGTTCTGCTTTCTTATGGATTTGAGATTTAAATTCAAGTCTTAATCTGTCCAGAATTTATTTTAGTATATGGTATAAAGTGAAATTTGAAAGTGATATTTTTTTTCCTGTCAACCTGCAAAATTTTTTTCTCAGCATGGTTCTTCTTTCTTTTTATTATTTAAGGCAACCTTTAGCAAACATTTAAATTTTATATTCTATATAATAAAGTTTATTTCTGGGCTCTCTACAGCTCTTAGTCATAAAATGTTATGGCAAACAGCTGACCAACTATCCTAACTGAAACCTGTATCAACCATATTAACCAGCAGCAGATACCAGGAAATTTCTCCAAAAACATAGTTTTCCAGGGAAAGCAATCAAAACGGGAAGAGACTGTAGAGACCAAGTATATTAACTTTCTCCACAGATCTTCCCTTGATTTATTTTAAGGCACATGGGTGACTGCATTTTTCCTGCACTGTGTTAAGCCTCAATCGTTTGTGACTAGTCAGGCTCACCGTAGTGAAATCCTTTCTCTGAAGGCAGTCCCAGAAACTGAATACATACCTTTTCAGCTAATTCTTCCATGTCAGACAGAAAGCTTTTCATTGTGTTCTCAGCATTGTTGATTTGTATCTTTCTTAGGACATACTGGTTTTCTCTTTCTGACAATTTTGTCTGTGGAAAAAAAAAAGTTTTGAAAATAATCAGTAGATGTGCACAACAGGTTTTTAAAAACTATACATAAAGGCGGGGGCGGAGCAAGATGGCAGAGGAGGAGGAGACCTGGATTTCGTCTGGTCCCAGGAATTCAGCTGGATAGGGATCAAACCATTCTGAACACCTACGAACTCAACAGGAGATTGAAGAAAAGAATAGTAGCAACTCTCTGAACAGAAAAGTGACCACTTTTGGGAAGGTAGGACGTGCAGAGAAGTGAATCCAAGGTGATATTCGGGAGGATAGACGGCGGGGGAGGGGGCCTCCATCCGCCGCTTCTGGCAAGTGATAGAACCGCGGAGCACAAAATTGGAACTTTTAGAAGTCGGCTCCACTGAGGGAAGTTGCTCCAGTGGCTAAGCAGGGGGTGGAACCCTCACTGGGACAGTGTGGTCTCAGGACACTCAGGGTCACAGAAAGACTGGGGGTGCCTGAGTGAGGCCGAGCTCCCAGGTTCAGAGCGGGGAAGCTGGCTGCAGAGACAGAGCCGAGGAGCGGGCTCTCAGCTCGGGGTTGCCATAAACCGTGATCCGTGGCACAGTTGGGCCACTGCTTCTCCAGCAGGGACCCAAAAAGCGGCACATCCGGGAAGACTCCCCCTCCTCCCCCAGGAGGAGCGGCATGGGTGCGCACCACAGGGATCTGCTGGGTTTGGAGACTCCACATGGGGTCGGGTGCCTGAGATAGAAATGCTCGGTCACAGGCCGGGTGAGCATGGAGTGAGGCCGGAGACTGGGGAGAGGGGAATGACTGACTGCTTTTCTCTGGGGGCACACTGAGGAGTGGGGCCCCGAGTTCTAGGCTCCTTGGGGAGGAGATTGGGAGGCCACCATTTTCACTTTTGTCCTCCAAAGCTGTATGGAAAGCTTGCAGGGAACAAAAGCTCCCGAGAGCAAACCCCAGCAGATTACTGAGCCTGGCCCCAGCAAGGGTGGGGCAATTCCGCCTCCAGCAAAGACATTTGGGAACCACAGCAACAGGCCCCTCCCCCAGAAGATCAGCAAGAACAGCCAGCCAAGACCAAGTTTA